TGTTTTTTTCCAGGTCTGTGAACTTGGTTCAAAAATACTAGGTTCCTGGGTGGGACATTGGAATATGGGGAGAGTGGGTGTTAGAGTAGTTAAAAAATCATCTGGAGGTACAACAGAGTCATCCTGAATTATGGGGAAAGTGACACCACAAACTACAGTAGGCACAACACAAGTGAGATATAAATTAAAAGCCACAGCAATAGTGGTGCCAATACATGCTGCTACTTTGCACTCATATGAACTTATCTTTAGTTGGAAGATGTTGTTTGAAGAGCAGCTTAAGGTCTTTCCCCCTTCCCCAGTGGCTCACAAGAGTAACTGGAATGAGCTGGTCTTGGTCTCAGGATCCACACTGATAGCTTAGGAGTATCAGGAGCAGTCTAAGGCTTGAAGCTAGTGTGATGGATCCACTGTTGTTTCTCTTGAGAAAACCCAGCTTATTTTCTGGAATTTTGCTAATTGGTTAACATGGGAAATTTGCCTGGCCATTTCTGGGTCCAGCATCAAATCACTGGTAAGAAATGGCCTGCCATGTAGTACCTCAAAGAGGATTAGGCCCTGATAGGGGTATTTCTAAGCCTGACTAAAGCTAGGAGTATTTAGTCTAAGGAGATCTGGTTTCCTGAATGAGCTCCTTTAAATAAATGCCTCTTTAAAGTTTATTAGCCTCTCCAGCTTGCCTGACAATTGAAGACATGAGGTTCAATGTAGGTGAAACTGAATTCTTAAAGTTTTAAGTTAGGCTTTCAGTGGCTTCTGCCCCAAAGGCATCTGTTGTCACTTGGAGGCATTTAGAAAGCCCAAATCAAGGGGTTATTTCTATAAGTAAAATCTTAACCATATCTGATGCCCTTTGTGTTTTGCATGGAAAAGCCTATCCAGATCATGTAGGTATTGACTAAAACTAAAGGACATAGAATTAGGCCTTCCCTGCATTTGAATGAAGTAAAATTGCTAGTCTCCTTCTAGATATAAAGTCCTTGTCTTTGGGTCCTGGGGACTGAAAGTTGAAAGTGCCTGTTTGGTGGGTTAATCTTTTGGCATCTTTCACATCTTTGTGCCACCTATTGGATTGCTTCCTTGAGACCTTGGCCTAAAATACCTTCTGGCTAGAAAAGTGTTTTCCTTCCTAAGTGATAACATCTGAAGGGATGTTTAAGCTTTCTGTAGAAGAGATTTTGGTAATAGCAACTGGTCAGTGGGAGAGAGCCACCGTCTTTAGTCAAAATGACAACCAAAGGCTATTTTCTCAGTGGAATATTTGGATCTTTTAGGAGGTAGTAAGGATTCCTCCCAAAGAATAGGGCATTCCTCCTAAGACTCAGTGTAGCTCTCTCAGCTTCTGAATCTGCTCCCTTAGCTAGACGATCCTCTCCTTTTTGATGCCTAGAATAGTAGTTTATAAACAAGATACCAGGGAGGGCAAGAGGATTGCACCAAGAAGCTTAAGGCTCTCTCTTGAGACTGACTGATGGGGTTCTCTTCTGTCTTCAGTAGTCCCCCTTCTCTCCATATTGTTGTGTGAGCATGAAGAATCAAGGAAGTACTTGGAGTCTATATATATACTGACTCTCTTTCTCGTGTTAATTCTAATGCTTTGGTAAGGGCTATCAATTCAGCAAGCCAAGCATCAAAGTCCTGGGGGCAGTCACTGAGTAAAAATGCCAAAACCAGTAGGTATTGTATACCCTGCATATCTTTAGTGCTGGATCTCTTATCTGTATAGAGTACCAAGTCAGGAGTTGTAAAGGTTGATCTATGAGATCAGCTGGGCTGTATAGCTTTCTGTTAGGACCTCTTTGCTTGAATGAAGTGATACCCTTTCCCCTTCTGGCAGTAAAGTTGGCAGAGGTAAGCTTTTTTTTTCTCTGCATATCCTAAGAATACTATCTGATCTGTCCACCATAAGGACTGAGTATATCAGCTATCAGATAGCCCTAAGTTCCCTTTAGAATTCAAATGTCCCAATTCATTCAGAGTGTGGACTATGTGGGGATATCCAAAGATAAACTTTTGAGCCTTGGTGCTTAGAAGTCCTACTAAGGCTACAACCTGAAGAGAGCTAGGCCATCTATTGGCTCTTTGTAGTTCTTGTTGTGTCCTACTGGTTAGGGTGAGGGACCTTGAAATTGTGTTATTGCCCCTAATGCTGTCTCTTTTTATAACTAGAGGTGAAAACTGGTCGGGTGAGCAGTCCCAGAGTGGGTTAAGGCCTCCTTTCTTTGGAAAAGCCTGCATGGATTCAGAGGTCCATTCAGCCTTGGGTTTGAGTTTTCTTGAAACTCATTTCACCATATCTTGGGATTCAAAGTGTATGCTATCCTGTGACTACTAGGAAGGCCCTCCCATGCTGCCTTGTAGCCCCTTTCAGCAAAAAGGTTAAAGAGAGGTCCTGAAGCTCAGACCATAATCTCCTTGGAGAACATCTATGTATTGGAATAGTGTGGCCTATTATGGGCTCGTTCCATTAAATCTTGGAAGAGGGCTGGCCCAAAAAGGTGTGGACAATCCTGAAACCTTTGCAGGAGTATAGTCCATGTGGCCTGTCCAGCCCTTCAAAGGATCATCAAAGGCAGAGCTGGGTGCATGGAAATGAAAGTAAAGTTTCTTTACTAATACAGAGTTATAAATGGTGCAGGGAGGAATCTGAATCAGGAGAGTACTGAGATTGGGAATTACAGAGTAAAGAGAACAACTGCTCCCTTGAGGAGTCTTAAGATCTGAGCTAATCTCTTGTTGGATTCCCCTCTTTACTTTCAAGATAGGGGTATTATGTGGATTTGATCATTGAATTAATGATTCCTATTTATTTAATGTTTTAATTACAGTGATGAGCCTGTCCCTAACTTCTGGTATTAAAGGATATTGTCTCTGATGTGTAAATTGGAAAGAATCTTTAAAATGAAAGAACATAGGGATGATGGTCCTAGCCTTCCCTTTTAATTTCCCATTTGCCCATGCAGTTTGAACAATTTGGATTCTATTAGCAGCAGACAATAATGTTGTTTTAGAGAAAGAAATTTTACTTTGAGTTTGGCCAAGAGATATTTTTTTCCAAAGAGTGGCAGGAGTTTGGGGGAATCACCAAAAAGAAGTGGCAAAGATAGAGATTTACCCATTAACAGGAAAGAAGCTGGGTAAATAATGCTCAATGAGCCCCAGATGATAGCCTTTGGGGGATCAGAGACAGGGGAGAATGGGAGGACTAAGAATTGGGTTCCTGTGTTGATGAGGAAATTGATGTGACTTTCCTTCATTGTAAAGACATCTCAGGACTCCTCAAGCTGGATTGATCCTCATTGAGTTGGGAGATCATCCAATCTTTTAGAGATCACCCTTACAAAGAGGGAAGGGTCCTGGGGGAGGCATTTGTCTCACCTGAAATAGCCTTCCTGCCTGCATAAGAAATGCATTCCGATAATCCTAATTGTGTTTCTTGAGGATTCACCTGTGTGGCTATCTGCAGTTTCCATGACGTTTATCCTTTTATCTATCCTCCTGGGCCCAGTTATAAAAGATCAATGTAGTAGTTTGGATTAAATTATCCAATGGCTTGCCTGGTTCAGTCACCAATTTTTGGAGTTATATACATGGCTAATCAAGTCGGGCATTTATCATGTTGTATGATCTCTTCCTATGACCCTGGTTCTATATTAGTATATATTTTACAGCCTCTTGATATCTTTGGTAGCATATCATGGAAATCTCCTTACCTTCTGACTTACTGTTGTCAGTTGGGCATCGTTTAAGGGCTTAATTGCTGACTTTCTGAGACCTTCTAGGTTGCAGTAAAGGAGTACCCCAAATCCATCCTTTCCCTTGATCTTCTGGATTGAATTTGGGATTGGATTAGAACTGCCTCTTTACCAGTGGGAAGTTGGGGGATACCTTTATTTCCCTGGAAGTGTAAAAGTCATTTCCATCATGGATGTCCTAACGTATCACTTACCTCTCTAGAAGTGTTAGAGTTTATTCTAACAACAGCATGTGAAATCACAAAGTTGGCTTGCTCTCCAAAGGTTTGGACATACCCAACTGGGCTGCCAATAAAGCTCCCCAGGTCTCTTTTTTAGTATAGACAGAGAAAGGAGCCATGCACATAGGTTGTCCCAGACTCCATTCTGGAGATCTGCCTAATTGAAAACATGTCTTGTGGAAGAAAAGGGGGCACATCTGGGGACAGCGTTTCCACACTGGGAAGAGGTCTGCTCTGTCTAAAGGGCTACAGATTGGGATGGATAGCCAGAAGACTTACAGGGGTGGAAACAGTCATGTTGGGCAGTTCATGAATTTGGGGATTTGGATACTTTGTAGGATTTGAAGACTTGTTCTTGCCTGCTGACTCGTTTTTTTAGATGAGATCATATCACAGCCAAAGTATAGGGGTACATTTTACATACTTGGGCCAATTAAGGGTGATCCTTCAAGTAAAAGGACAAATTGAATATATGGGATAGCAGTCCATTTTCCCTCTTGCTTGCAAAGCAGATTGAGCGGAATGATGGTATTGTAGTTTAAATTGCTCCTAGAGGCCAAGATTTCCAATCACTTAGTGGGCGTTCTGGCCAGACCTGGATAGGGAGAAAAGAACCTTTTCCTTATGACTCTGAGGGTCCGTCTTACTTAGTTTTCTAAGAAGTAGAGCAGAGGATTTGATGTGATCTTGGTTAGGGTCAAATCCATCTGACCCTGTCTAGTAAATGGAAGCATTCCTTGGAGAGACACCTCTCTCCTTACTCTTCCCTGGGCCCAAAGGGATGCCTCTGATCTGGGAGAGCCCTCGTGTTTAGAGATTACTTCTTACTTGTGATGTATTGGAACTTTTCCAGGGACCGTATGGTTTACACTTTACATACATACATACATAAAGTTTGCACATGGGTGCACACACACATATAAATAAAAAAAAACAAGGTTTTGGGGGAGGCCAGCTCTGTCATTGACTTAGTTATTTTAATCTTCTAAGAAAACATTTTTATTGACTTTTCCTCCTCCTTTAGATTACAAGCGCTTACTGGTCAAAAAAAGACTGATTACACGGAGAAAAAAGATGAGCCCAGCAAAGACAGCCATCAACAGGTTCTAGTTGACCAGAGATACTTTCAGGTATTGAATAGCTGATGAAAAGACTGGTGTTTGTGAAGATCCTTGGTTTTATGCAGTATAATTTGTTGCCACTTGGTAAGGAATGTTTGTATACAGACAGCTCTAGGTATCTGTGGGGGCTTGGTTCTGGGATACTTGTGGATGCCTAAATCTGCAAAATCCCATATATAATGGCATTGTGTTGTGACTTGAATGGGAAATGCCCCCTATAGGTTCATGTGTTTGAACATGTGATCTCCAGCCATTTAGAAATGTTTGGTGTTTGTTTGTTTAAGACAGGTCTCTCTCTGAAGTTCTGGGCTGTCCTGAAACTTGCTATGTAGACCAGGCTAGCCTCAAATTTATAGAGATCCATCTTCCTCTGCCTCCCAAATGCTGAGATTAAAGTTTTATATATTTTAAATTTAGTTTAGGTGTATTTCTTGTCAGGTTTATTTTCTAGGTATTTAATGACTCTCATTGCTGTTGTGAATAAGATCTAGGCAACTTTATGAGAATTTTATTTTAGCTGTTTCTCTGTGAGTATGTAACTGGGACTCTTTCATTTGCTTGCATGGGCTTAGTATGAGAGCCTGTGTGTGTGGAGACCAGCTCTTATTTCACTCTTACTGTTGGCATCTTACTGCTTTTCATATACTTGGTTTCCTGCTCTACTCTTTGGTTTTCTTTTCTTTTTCTGGCATTTGCTAGATTGACAGATGTTTCTTTGTCCTTTTTAATTTTGTTTTGTTTCTGCCTTAAAAGAAAAGCAGTAATTCATGTCATTCAGAGAGCTCACTGACACTGATAAACTCCCTGTGTTGTTGTTGTTTAAAGCAATCTAAAGGTGATCAGAGAACAGGAAAAGCTAAGATGAATTTAATTAATTAATTAAGCAATGGAATTTTCTTAAAGGCTTTTCCTGTTCTTTTAAAAATTCTTATCTCTGCGGGAATTGCTTTAAGTTACTTTATGGTTTCTACATTGTTACTATATCTTTTACTGCTAATTATCAAAAAGGTAGTTAATTCATACAGGACAATGTAAATTGTCACCTGTAAAAATTCTGATGGAATTAATTCTTCCATTAAAATCATGAGTTTATATATAATTGAAATTAAATATTGAAATATATATTTTTAAATAATTTATTTAACTTTATTTTATGTGCATTGGTATGATGGTGTCAGATCCCCTGGAACAATAGTTAGAGTTACAACTGAAAATTGCTGAAAATTGAACCCAGGTCCTCTGGAAGAGCAACTAGTGTTCTTAACTGCTGAGCCATCTTTCCAGCCCCCTGAAATATATTTTCATGAAAACTAAAAGCCTTCTAAATAACCTCTGAAGTCATATTACCAGGAGACCCATTAGTTGCAGCTTGAAGTATGCACAGGACAGAAATTCAAGATAAAATGCTGATCTCATCGTCATGATTCGTGTGTGTGTGTGTGTGTGTGTGTGTGTGTGTGTGTGTGTGTGTGTATGTTTGTGTGTGTTTGTGCATGCATGGGTTCCTGGTGTACATGTGGAGGTTAGAGAACAACTTGTGAGTGGACCATGTGGGTTCTGGGGACGGAACTCAGCTTGGTGGTAAGCAAGCCATGTCACTGGCCCTCATCTTCATACTTGATGATGATTTCTTAAATAGGATAGACTTCATGTTGATAAATGGGGAATTACTTTTATTATGTGTGTTTTGTTTTTTAAATACCACGCAAGGTGTTAAGAAAGGGCAGAGACAGGGGGCAGGTAATACCTAAACTCAGGCCATCTGACAGACCTGGGACCTCATTAAAACACTTTCTAAAAGGCTCTGAAGTTAATTAAAGAGGTAAAATAAGAGAGAAAACAAACAAGGTTGAAAGAATGATCTATTTTACCTGTCTTTGGGTGGTCCCTATTGTAGTGCTCATCATCACATCTAGAGAGTCAAATAGTATACATAATAAGATATTAAAACTTCAGCTCAGATATCAGTGATATTAAGGAGTTGTCAGTTTTCTTCAGTGTGACAGTGGCACTATATTGTATAGACTATACCAGCTTTTAAGAGATGCATGCTTTACTATTTGAGGGTAAAGAATGATGATAGCTTGATTTAGCTGACCCTGCAGACAGAGTGAGCCAAGCTAGGAAAATGTTAACAGTTACTGGATTTAGGTAGTGATTATGTTGAGTGCTAATTTTATGTGTCGGCTTGATTGGGCTTTACATTGCCCAGATGCTTGGTTAAACAGTGTACTTGTGGGTGAATGAATGGCAGACAAATACATTGTACTCCTGTGGTAGGTGGATCTCATCCAGTCACTTACAGAACAAAAAGACCCAGGGGGAATTTCTAATGCATGCTTTTAACATACTTTGTTTGGTTTTGGTTAGTTCTCCTACCTTTAGGTTTGATCCAAAGTGTCAGCCTTCTAGGGCTTTGGAACTACAATTCTGGGTCTCTTCTCAAATTGCTAACTGATAGTCATGGGATTCCATTAATTGCATGAGCCAATTCCTTATAGTAAATCTTTCTTTTTAAAATATGATCTCTCTCTCACGTGTGTGTGTGTGTGTGTGTGTGTGTGTGTGTGTGTGTGAGATATTCTAGCCTTCAAGTGATTATACAAGGCCCACTTATATATACACACAAATACATTTCCTGTTGGTGTTGTTTCTCTTGCAAAGCCTGAAACACTGTTTAACACACATTAAAGTTTTTGTTTGTTTAAAATATTGGTGGTTGTTTGTTTAATTTTGTTTTGAGACAGGGTCTTGCTGTGTTGTCCTGGCTGGTTTGGAACTTGCCAGCCAAGCTAGCCTTGAATTCCCAAAGATCCTCTTGCCTCTGTCTCTGTAGTGTTATGATTAAAGGCATGTGACACCATGCCAGGTTTGTTTTAATGTTTTATTTTATTATTATTATTATTATTATTATTATTATTATTATTATTATTATTATTATTATTATTATTATTATTATTATTATTATTATTATTATTATTATTATTATTATTATTATTATTATTATTATTTGGTTTTTCAAGACAGGGTTTGTCTGTGTAGCTTTGGATCCTATCCTGGCACTCGTTCTGGAGACCAGGCTGGCCTCGAACTCACAGAGATCCACCTGCCTCTGCCTCCTGAGTGCTGGGATTAAAGGCGTGCGCCACCAATACCTGGCTGTTTTAATGTTTTATAATGAAAAGTTGGGCAATTTAAAATAATCCATTCAAACCTCAGTCAAAAAATATTCTAGCTCATACCTGACCTGTTCTACCATGTGGTCAATGGGTGTGTTCTCCTTGCTCCATTGTTTCTTCTGGTCCCCAAAGTTTGGCATTTCCAGGAATGACAGTAAAGGGTGGATGATGGGTGAGAAGAGAGAATGAGGGTGGCATCTTTCTTTCTGGTGCTGCTGTATTATAGCACTGGTGCCCTTGGTGGGGATGATGTCCAAATATAGCCTGCTTTTCTTCATGGAGTGTGTGTGTGTGCACACATGCACATGTTTAGTTTTGTCCTTTCTCCTAAATGGGGACCTTTAACAACACAGCATTTATTTTGTGGGCAGTGCATTTTACCACTAACTTCATATGAACTCTTCTCCCACCCTTAGGTGCTGTACTGCTGTGGCCCTCCAGCCGTAGACAGCTTTTTGTTGTTGTTGTTTTCATGTTTTTAATCTCTCGTCCAGTATTTCTAATTGGCCAGAGTATATTCTTACCCTATCACAAGACAAAGGGGCAGGCTTCTCTTGCTGCCCATTTCTTCTTCTCCACTGTGATGTTCACATATGGCCCAGTTCATCTTTGCTATGTGACAGACATCTTCTAAAACTTAGTGACTTAAAGTACCCTTTAATAGCATCATGCTTGGACAGTATATAGATCTGCTGATATTGGCCATAAGTTGATAGTGTGTCACTAGAGCTCTTCTTGTGGAAGATGAGTGAACTATAAGCGATGGGGATGAATGGGCTTGCACAGTTCTACCTGGAATTGGCCATGTGGTGGCAGCAGAGTGTAAACAGTGATCTAGACCACTTAAGAACTATTTCCCCCTCTGCCTAGGCATGGTGGTGCTCACTTTTAATCTCAGCACTAAGGACACATAGGCAGGCAGATCTCTTTGATTTCAAAGCCAGCCAGGGCTGTTATACAGAGAATGCCTGTCTTGAAAAAATAAAAACAAAACAAGCAAACTTTTTTTTTTTTTTTAAAAAGACTCAAACTGGCATGACATTTTTTTTAGTAAATTCTGTGAACCAAAGATAGACCCTAAACCAGCTCAAGTTCAAAGGGTAAAAAAAAATCTCTCCATTTTGGTGGGAGAAGCTGCTTCCTGACATTTGGTATCAGGGGAAAGAAGGCTGTCTCCCTGCTTTGATTCATAACTTGGAGGAAAATGTTTTTTTCAATTAATTGACATTAATAGATGAGTTTTTAATAGAAGTGAAATGTTGAAACACAAATGAATCCAAAACAAAAACTTGCTTATGAACAAGCATTAGAAGTCAGATTCTCAGCACCTGTTTGCTGTAGCTTGCTCTGGCCAGATGAGAAGAGCAGTGTTTGCTCCTAGCTCTAGAAACCCTGTGCAGATACTCTTGAGAGCCCTATCTCAGGGTTTTATAGCATTTGTTGAGAATTATTGGACTGGCTCGTCAGGACTTCTCTGTAGAATGAGTGGGGTTTAATTAGTAACTATCTTTACTTGAAATTTCAACTGAAATTGTGAAACAAATAGAAAGATCCCCTTAATATCATATTTAGCTTAAATATGAGGAGACAGAGTTAGGGAATCATTCAGGGTTAGATAAGGATGTCTAGATGGTTATTAATCTGTGGGATTATAATAGATGCTAACCGCTTTCAAACCTAAATTAATTTATTTAGTTTTCTTTAGAATTTGTATATCTATGCTGATGAGACTTCATTACCACAATATTTACAAATGTCTGAAAATGATGCCATGTTGACATCTGTGCACGCCTTTCCCATCCTCACTGTGTCAGACTCAGATATTTTAACTACAAACACTGTCTGTGTTTACAGGTGCTGTGCAGCATCAATTCAATTATCCACAATCCTCGAACTCCAGTAATTATTTATAAGCAGAGAAAGGGAGGAGCCCAAAACTTGAATAAAGATACTGTTCAGGACTGTGGATTTGAACATCTTATTCCTATAATAGAAACGTGGGCAGATGAACTGACATCCTTAAAGGTAAATAGCTGAATATTCTTTACATGTTTTGAAAATCTGTTGGACTTGGGCTTTTGTTGTTGTTTAACTGTAAAGCTAACAGTACTTTGCTAAAATTGGAATGTTGCTGCCACTTACATATTTTATTTTATTTTATTTTTTTGAGACAGAGTTTAACTCTGTAGTCCTGGCTGGGCTGGAACTCTGTATATAGACTAGGCTGTCTTTGAACTCACAAATAGCCACCCGTTTCTGCCTCCTGAGCACTGTAATTAAAGGCATGTGCTACCATACCCAGACTTACGCATTTCTAATCCTGTAAATTTGTTGTTATTGTTAAGCTTGCCTCCTCTAAAGCTCTACCATAGAGGATTTTTAGACTTCACCTCCCTGAGACTCTGGATCCCTCTCTGTACATCCAAGCTCTTCCATGCTCTCCCTCTCCCTCCTGCTGATACCTTTGCTGCACATGTCCTGACCTTCGCACGGGCTCAGATGTAGTGTCTTATCCTTATTTTAATCTTCACTGGACTATTTTTCCTGTCTTCACATTTTATATTTCTTTCTCAGAACTGAGTTTATTTTTGTGTTTGTCTAATCACTAGAGCAGGTGATGGTCAACAGTTTGATTTATAGATCATTGTTTATTCTTTATTGTGTAACTTGAGTTTTTTGCATTTTCTTGATTGGTTTATTGAGAAGTGATTTGCTATAAAGTTAATAGTATTGCATTTCTGTGCCTTTTAAACCTTAGATTTCTTTCAGTAACTAATGTACAAAATCCTGCTCTAGTTAATGAAGATATGATTTAGTGACAGTATTTGTCAGCATTTTGTCCTAATATCTGAAGAACCTTGTTAAGAATGAGTGACCTTCTTGGGAACAAAAAGCTTTATTTGTTCTTATATGCCTCAAAGATCTTCGTGATGCATGAGTGCTCAATTAATATTTATCCAAATTATCCAGAATAACTATAGTCCCAAACAACTGGAGGTATTTTTCATTTATTTGTTTTGTTTTTTTTAAATATTTTGTTATTGTCTTCTTTTCGTTCTTTCTTCTTTCTTTTCTTTCTTTCTAGTTTCTTGAGACATGGTTTCTCTGTATAACCACTGTGGCTGTTCTGGAACTCACTTTGTAGACCAGGCTGGCCTCAAACTCACAGAGATCCACCTGCCTCTGCCTCCCAAGAGCTGGGATTACAGGTGTGCACCACCACACCAGGCTTGACGTTTTTGTTTTTGTTTAATTTATAAAATTTTATCTTTATACAGTTCATGAAAGAATCTTGGCAGTCAGCCTAACTTTTATTTCCTTTTTTCTTTAGGGCTTAGACAAAGCTACATAATATATAAGCATTTTTGATTGACAGTGCTGGATTAATATATATGGCTGAGTTTCTCTAGTTTATTTCTCAGGAAAGGGTGAAATAGAGATGACTTGTGGAAACTGGAAATTCCCACTCACTGCTTGGCAGAGTTCTCTCTGTAGGAGATAACAGGGCTAATTACTTTCTCCCTTTCAGAAGAGTTAGCATAGGAACATCTCTTGCCTTTCCAAAAGAAGGGAAAGACAAGATGAGAAAGCTTTATAGTTAGAATGTTTATTGTAAAGACACTTGAGGAAATTAGCTAGAATTAGTTTCTTCTGCCATTGAAGTAGCTCACGGCCTTTAGTATTGCTTCTAATATTTACAGTACAGATTCAGGATCCACCTTGGAAAGAAATGAAGTCCTATGATGCTTCATATGGAGAGTTCTTTATAATGTAGAACCTTGTACTTTGGGACAGACATCTCCCCGGTTACTATTTTTTCCTTAGGTCTGATTTATGACTTAAAAGAGAATGACCAGTTTGAGAGATGAATGGAAAAGAGAAATGTAGCAATACATATTATAGAATCCTACATGTTTGCCTATTTATTTTTTGAGTCAGGCCTCCTTATACAAGTCTGGCTGGCCTGGAATGCCATGTAGACCAGGCTGACCTTAAATTCACAAAGTCCCACCTGCTTCTGCCGCCTGATTTTGGGATTAAAGGCATGTGCCACTTGGCCTTATTATATGTTTTATTTTCAATTAACATATAACCATGCATATGTGTGACATTTCAGTACATACAGTGAGTAGATCAGTGTTAAGAGCATGAAAAATTCCCAGCCATTTTAAAATAGTGAATTTTGTGAGCTTTAGTTACTCTACTGTGGTATAGAACATTACAAATGACTTCTCTTATCCAACTGCACCCTGTGACTGTTAACCATCCTGTCTCCATTCTTTTGTACTCAAACCATTCTCGGGCTTTAGGAACTACTATTAGACTAACCTTTGAAACTTTTACCTATGAGTAAGAACATGTGGTATTTGTGTCTATTTTATAGACTTAACATGATGTCTTTCAGTTGGATCCATGTTTCAGTAAATGACAGATGGCATCCTCTTTATGGCCAGTATTCTTTGTATACATGTACATGTTTGTATGCACACATACGCACACTGTTTGTGTTTATCCATTCATCTGTCATCAGACACCTACAGTGGTCCCATGCCTTGGCAATTCTGAATGGCGCTGCAGTAAACATGTGGGAGCTGGCGTCTTTTTGACATATTAGAATTTCATTTTATTTGAATATATACCCAGATGTAGGATTGTAGGCGGTGTGGCAGTTTTATCTTTAGTTTTTTTTTTGTTTTTTTTGTTTTTTTTTTTTTTTTTTTTTTGAGGAACCTCTATGTACTGTTTTACATGATGGCTGTACAATTTTTATTCCCACCAATAATAAATGCAGGCAGTTCTCAAAAGAAGTCAGTCCCATGTGGTTACTTGTATAATTTCATTTACATAAAACACCAAGTGTAGGCAAATCCATAGCAGCAGGAAGTTAGTGGTTATAGCAGGGTTAGTAGTTAGAGAGGCTGGAGAAGAATAGAAAAGGACTTTGAGTGGGTGTGGGATTTCTTTTTTTATTTTAAATTTTTATGTGTATGAACATTTTGCCTGCATATGTGTTTATATACCACATGCTTATCTGGTTCCTGTGGAGGTCAGAAAAGGGTGTCAGATCCTCTGGACTGGAGTTATGAATGGTTGGGAACCATCATGTGGGTGCTGGGAACTGAACCTGGGTGTTCTGAAGACCAACAAGCGCTCTTAGTGTTGAGTCCTTTCTCCAGCCCTGGGTGTGGGAGTTCTTTTTGGAAGATAGATAGGTTCTGAAATTAGACAGTGGTGGTGTTTTGTACCACTGTGAAAAGATGAAAACCATCAAATTATGTGCTAGTAAAAGTATTTTGGAATGTAAATTTTTACCTCAAAGGTGCTCCAAAAATATTTAAAGCCTAGGCTAGTGATATGGTTCAGGGGTAAAGTATTTGCCTTGTATTTGTGAGGGAGGGCCTGGGCTATTTCCAGCACTGATAAAAAATAATTTTAAAAATAATATAACTACTTAAATAATATAATGCTTAAAGCATCCAGACTTGTTTTAAATTGTCAATGGTATTAAAATATACTGATGATGATCATAGGGCTATGTATTTTTGGACCACCTTATTACTGTGTTGTTAGTTGGACCATTTTATAAACAATAACACATGTAGTTTCTTTTATTGTAAAGGATTTGTATAAGTCCTTAAAAATACTGTCTGCAGCACTGGTACCTTGGCATAATTTAAAGAAACCGGATGAAAATGATGGTGTCAAAGTAGAAGATCTGTTGTGTATGGTAGATACCATGTTGGAAGAGGTTGAAAACAAGAAAGAGGTAATACTTGACAGTTCCATTTTAAAGGTTGATATTAAATATTTAATATTATTTCAAGTTGTGAACTATCTTTTTCACCTTCTCCTTATAGAGCAGCAACATGCTAAACTTTCAAACTTTGCAAGCTATTGTTTCTCACTTCCAAAAGCTATTTGATGTTCATTCTCTAAATGGAGTCTATCCCCGAATGAATGAAGTGTATACCAGGCTTGGAGAAATGAACAACGCTGTGAGAAACCTCCAGGAGCTCTTAGAACTAGGTGATGACCCTTGTCATTTTGGGCACTGATTTAAGAACTATTCCTAATAAACTAACAGAAATTAGGTGTGGGCTCTCGGGTGGTTTGGCTGAAAGATTTATTGTTACACACTGGCTTCCAGCCTAGCTAAGAAACTGTGAACTCCAGGCTCAAGGAGATAGTGTGTCTTAAAGAAACAGGCAAAGGGTGATAGAGGAGGATACTAAATGCTTTCTTTTGGCCTCTGCCTTTCAGAGGTACACACACCCAAATACTTACACAGACATATAATAAAAATAAATCTTAATTCCTTTCCCACCAAAAATAAAATGAGTAACTGAAGCAGGAAATGTTAGATGAATGTAATGATTTTGGAAAATCTTGAATATATATATATATCCATCCTATATTTTCATTTCTCTTGCAGACAGTTCATCCTCGCTGTGTGTGGTGGTCAGCACAGTTGGAAAATTGTGTAAGATTATCAATGAGGATGTGAATGATCAGGTTAAACAAGTATTAGGGCCTGAAGACCTACAAAGGTATATGTTAAAAGTATATTCAAAATACTTGAAGTGATAAAAAGTAAAGACTTTCAAAGCTTTATAAGTTACTTATCAGGAGTGATAATTTTTTTTTGAGGGAGGGTCTCAGAGTCTTGAAACTGTGTGTGGACCAGGGTGGCCTTGAACACAAAGAGATCTGCCTATCTTTGCCTCTTGGGGGAGTTATATGTAGGGAAATTAAAATCTTTATAATCAGTTCTTGAGTTGTATTATAACATATAACCTATTTCTAGGATACTACCAAAACTACTGAGTAATTACTAATCATATATTTTTTGTTTAGAATATAAATAATAAATATTAAAAAAAACTAGGCACCACTAATATAAAACCTGATATTTAAAATATACATGTTATGGGGCTAAGGTTGATGTATAGCTCAGTGGTAGAGCTTGTGTTTACCATGCATGAAACTCTGGTTCTCTATCCAGTAACCCCTACTCCAAAATAACCTCCTGAGATATTGTAGCTTTCAGCAACATTCAGCAAACTAATTTTATACTGCAGAATATAGTGAAACACACACACACACACACACACACACACACACACACACACACACACACTCTCACATCGTCCATATATTCTGCAAGTTTTCCTGGAAGAACCCTTATGTAATCTGGCAGTTGAGTCTTCATATTTAGTGCTTTTCACTATTGGTCTCTCCCCTCCTTTTCACTGTTTTACTGACTACTAGTACTTAATGTTTAATGGCATACTGGGTAGAGAAGCCTATTTTTAGTAAGTGTTCTAAATAATACGCTTTTTTAAAAAAGGAAAATTAGATGAATTAAGATCGTAAAACGAAAGTATTGCTGTAATTGAACATTAAGTTTATCTTCAATTTAGCAAGACAGTTTCTTCTCACTTTGAAAATGTACTGTCTGCAATTACCTGTCAACAATCAAATGCAAAAACCCTAAGTTGGAAACTTTCGTAAACTATTTTTTAAACAGCATTATCAACAAATTGGAAGAACATGAGGAATTTTTTCCAGCATTTCAAGCTTTTACAAGTGATCTCCTTGAAATCTTAGGTAAGATTTGTTGATAGTGGCTGAATTTCCATCTTAAGATGTCAGTGAGTTTGAGAGAAGGGTGTTTCTTAGATACTGATCATGTTTTACCTTTGGTGTTTGGTGGAAAGTGTCTAGAAACTATTAACTGCTTTGCAGGAAAAAGTTGGTTAGGATTAATTCACAGAATAGAAAAAGACAGTCTATAAAGAGATAGGAACTATCTTTTTCTTTTCTTTTGAAATATTTTATTTATGTGTGTGAGTGTGCCTGCATTGTATGTATGGGCAGATGACTGAGGAGGCCAGATGAGGTGGTCAGGTCCCCGGGAACTAGAGTTACAGACAGTTAGATCTTGTTGGTGTTGGGAACTGAACCCAGGTCCTCTTACAGTAGCAGCAAGTGCTTTTAACCGCTGAGTCATCTCTCCAGCCCTGTGAGACTATCTTGTTTTGGGGCGTTCTCATGAGAAATGGCAATTCTGTGAGACTTTTGGCTCTGTCTTTGTTTATAAACAATGACCAAGCAAAATAATGCAGACCCTTCCACTTGGAACCTGCTAGTAGGGATGGTATCTGGATAAGGGAGAGTATTGCTTCCTCAGTGAGTAAGGAGCTGTAGAAAGTGAACGCTGCCTGAGGCTCACTGAAATCTGATGCCTTAGAAAAAGAGCAAACTCAGAAAGAAGTTGCTGAAGAACCTGAACTGCTTTGTCTAAAAATGTAGACCAGGATAAGCCTTGTCCCTGGGTTCGGTTCTCGTGTGCCACACATCTCTAACTGAACAGACCTCCCAAAAGAAGGTCTGAGAGCACTCCACTCTGAGAATAAAAGGATCAGGAAAGAATGCTGTGTTCTTTAAGAAATCAATTCCCAAAACCTCAGATGAAGACCACGCATGTTGGGACCCACATTGGCTTACCCATTTAAGAGGTACCAATGTATCATAAACGTGGTCAATTGGATGTGCTACCAAGACCATGCTGCTGATAAAGTTAAAGGGACATCACAGATGCCCTATGGCACACCTGTACAAGGCAGTAGTAGTCCCCAGCTAGCTGCTCTTGGAGAAGACTCCATGTGCATAAGAATACTCACTGCCATTCCTGCCCTAGGGTTGGAATTTTGCCTGTAGAGAGTTTATTTTTATGAGCTTTTCACTAGAAAACATTACTGTTTATAATTCTTATTTTTTCTATTACAGAAATTGATGATTTGGATGCCATTGTACCTGCAGTAAAGAAATTAAAAGTACTTTCATACTGAAAACAAATCAAATCATTTTTACTGTGTAAATTGTATTCTTAACATTTTAAGTATTTTGGAGGACTGATCCTGAGTCAAGATTCTAAAATGTATCAGCTCTCAGAATTCAGCCTCTGACAATCATATAAGTTTTAGTTTTGATTATTTAATAGAAAGCAGCTACTAAGTTATTAAAATAGTAAATTCACTTTAGATCTCTTAATCATTTCCTAAGTAATGCTTGAGTGTTTTAAATGTAATGGTTATTTTAAGGAAAAGATTACAAATTATAGAAAGTGTCATTTAAGTTCAAGGTTTTAATGACCTTTTGGTCAGAGAAAGAAAAATGCCAATTGCTTTCTAAGCCCAACCAATAGGAAGCCACTGCTTTCCCACCAGGACTAATGGGCATATTCTATTAAGATGCCTTTCAAAGCAGAAAGAAAAAGTTTTGTCTTTGTGTAAAGATAGGAAGTTAATCATGAGGTGAAATAGATGATTAGGCAGAAGTCTATCAGAAAATGTGTCTATTTGCAATACTGATGTACTGTACTTCTATAAAATAAAATTTTTATAAAGTTTACAAATGTAAGTGTTCTTAGTGACTTACTTGTATTGCTCACAAATAATGAATGAGTCATAGTATCTTCCTAGGCTGAGTCTTGCTTGGGTCATGGATTCCTCCTCACTGCATTTTACCTAAGAGTCCTACTCTTACTGCTTTCTCCTTACTCACTATGCTGTCTGTTCATATGATGGAGCAGGCGGTGTTCTGCATGACATCCATGAACACAAGCTGCTCTGGGCTACCCCACACCCTCCTTTAAAAATGCTTGTGAAGTGTTTCTGGGAAGCAGCACGGTAGTATGGAGAGTGCCAAAAAACAGGCATCCAGACCCTTAGGGTTGAGACTTCAATGGCATAAAATAATACCTCAGGTTCTTTTAACTTGTAGTTAAATTTCTAAATACTAGCCCAGTGGTTCTCAACCCTCCTAATGCTGCAACCCTTTCATACAGTTCCTCATGCTGTGCTCACCCCCACCATAAAATTATTTTCATTGCTATTTCACAACTGTAATTTTGCTACTGTTATGGATCATAATGTAATCATCTGTGTTTTCTAATGCTCTTAGGCAACCCCTGTGAAAGGGTTATTTAACCCCCCAAAGGGAGCATGACTCACAGGTTGAGAAAGCAATGTAACTAACCCATAATCTATAGAATGTTTTGATGGCTTCATTAGAAAAGCATTTGGTTATTCATTCTAATTTGGTAAAATTACTCAAGAAATTTCTGTGAGGAGGTTTGGAAGGGTTTTTTTGTTTGTTTGTTTGTTTGTTTTGGTTGTTTTTTTGGTTTTTCGAGACAGGGTTTCTCTTTGGCTTTGGAGGCTGTCCTGGAACTAGCTCTGTAGACCAGGCTGGTCTTGAACTCACAGAGATCCGCCTGCCTCTGCCTCTCAAGTGCTGGGATTAAAGGTGTATGCCACCACTGCTCAGCTGGAAGTCTTTTTTATCTCAAAGGATTTACTCTCATTTTTACAAAGTGTGTCTGTGTGTTTGTGTGCACGTGTATATGCGTGGGTTGAGTACAAGTGCCCCCTGGAGTCCAGAAAAGGATGCTGGATCCCCTGGAGCTGGAGTTACCTACAGTTGTGAACAGCCCAGTGTGGGTACTAGAAACTGAACTCTGGTCCTCTGCAAGAGCACTATGCACTCTTAACCACTGAGCCATCTCTCTAGCCCAAAGGTTGGAAGTCTTGACAATGTGTGTAAAGTCTATGTGTGTACATGCACATGTTTCAGATGGGTTGTCCTGTATTCCAGGTTGGCTTTGAGTCCACTATAGCCAAGGCTAACTTTGAACTCCTGGACCTTTTTCCATCACTCCTAAGTGCTAATATAGTAGGCATGTGCCACCACACCTGGCCTTAACAATATTTGGGAATAAAAGAAGAAATACAATTAAAAGATTATAGTGGGGGCTACAGAGATGACTCAGCAGTGTTTATTCTTGGCCTGTGATGGTACAATCCCAGCACTCAGGAGGCAGAGACAGGTGGATCTCTGTGAATTTGAGGTCAGGCTGATCTACAGAGTGAGTTTCAGGACAGGCAAGCCAGGACAGGCAAGACTATATAGAGAAACCCTGTCTCGGAAAAACAAAACAAAAAAGCTTATTCTTGCAGAGGACCCTAGTTTGGTGCCCAGCACCCATGTTGGGTGACTCACAATTGCCTGCACCTCCAGCTCTAAGGGAATCCAGTGCCTCCTGCCTCAGGCTTCAGGAGCACCTGTATTCATATAATAAAAAATTTAAAAGATTATAATTTTGGTGGCTAGTTTTAATCTCATAGTTAACTCAGTTTAAAACAGAAGTTTCTAAATCCTTTACCAGAGGACACCTCAAGGGCCAGTCACACTAATGCAAATCTTGTTACCATGTCTACCTCTATCTGATTTTAACTGTTTAAAACTATAAAAGTACTATAGTTGTTTCTGGTTCATATATATAGAACTATCTAAATATAAGCATTCAAAACATGCATTTGCTTGAAAACAATTTTGATGTGTAATTAACAAAAACTATGCATGAAGTGTAAAATTTGCTAAGTTCTGGTGCATGTCTGTTTGCAGTGCTGCAGTGGTTTGAATGAGAGCATCCACCATAGGCTTAGCTATTAACACTTGATCCCCATTTGGCGTCACTGCTTGGGGAGGTTGGGGAACCTTTGGGAGGTAGAACCTTAGTGAAAAAGTACATCACTAGCAGGCTTTGAGTATTTATAATCGTGTTCCACTTCCTGTTCAGTCTCTCTGCTTGTGCTTGCGTTTTGTGATCTGAACTCACAACACCCTGCTTCTTGTCGTCATGACTGCTGCTGGCTGCTGTGTTTCCCCGCCATGATGGACTCATTTTCTGCTAGAACCGTAAGCCCAAATAAACTTTCTTCTATAAGTCAGCTTGTTCGTGTGTTTTATTACAGCAACAGAATATGGTCTTTTGCTATTGAGCCTTTAGAATTTGTTCAGACTTTGTGATTAGAGATGAAGTTTAATATATTCCACATACTATTTTAAAAATTGAATCTCAAAAACGAATATTATGGTTACATTTTGCTATTGTGTTATTGAGACTCATAGTCCTACCATTTTTTTTTGTCTGCTTGATTTGTTAGTTTCTAGGAGATACTAAAATTTCTATAATGTTGCCAAATTTTATCCTATGTATTTTGAACCATTTTCTACATATATGTAAATATAACTGGTATGCTATCTTAGTGTCCCTCTTTGTTGCTATTCATGTTCACTGCCTTGAATGTAATTTTGTTCTTTTTTATTTTCATCTATCATTATTATTATCATTATTACAGTTTTGTTTTGTTTGAGACAGGAGCTCACTATGTAGCCCTGACTGGCTTGGAACTCAGCGATCCACTCGCATCTGTCTCTTGGGTGCTGGGATTAAAGATATGCACTATCCTGCCCGTCTTTCTTCATTTTTAAATTACAAACTTTTTTAGTTTGTGTTATGTGTGTGTGTATGTGCGCACACGTGTGCCTCAACATGAATGTAGAGGTCCGAGGACAACTGTCTTCAATTCTCTCCTCCTAACGTGGGTTCTAGGGACCGAACTCAACCTTTCCAACTGAGCCATCTCGATAGCCTGATTTTATTGTAGTATCGACTATTTTATTTTACTAAGTTTTAAAATATGTATAAATTATAAATGCCATGTGTAATTAAATGGTTATAAAATCAACACCCATGTAATAGAGCACATGGATGGCTCTCTCACACCTTTTAAGTTCCTAGAGGTCACTGTCATCCTGACTTTTATGTCAATCACTTCCTTAGTATTTTAAAGAAATGGGAGATTTTCATGAGCAAGCCAGAACCAATATTTGCCTCTTTTTATAAAAATGTAATTATACATGCGATTTTTAATGTTCCTTTTGTTCAATGTTATGCTTTGTTTTCATTGCTATAGAGTATCCATCTACCTTCCCGTTGTGCTGAGCATTGGCATTTGAGTGGTTTCCAGGTCTTGGCTATGGAGAACTGCTGCTGTCAGCACGTGTCCTTACACACACATGCAAGTTTTCTAGTGTGTATATCCCAAACCAAAAATGCTGGGTCTCAGTGGCAGTTGCTTCTATGTACATAGAAAAAAATCAGTATCTACTCTGAACTCTATACAGCTCCAAAATTAGGCTGCATGCTTTCTTGCTCTTGTTGGTGTGAAAAGGGGAACTCCTTGAACTGGGTTAATCAGTGAGATATACTCAGTTTAAAAGGCGGGGCTGGGGGGTATATGTAATCTGCTTTAGAAGCTAATGGTAAGACACAAAGGCATGCAGACACATAGAAATGCCTAGACCTTTACCATAAAGGAATGTGCTGTTCATCCCAGGCTCAGGCCCTACTTTGCACTAGCCAGCCTCTGCTTCTTTCATATTGTCAGTTTCTGAGTTTTGAGGATGGGGAAGTGTGGTTCAGGAACTTCCTGTGAGTGAATGGTTTAAAAATTCCCTTTAAAAAAATACTTGAGAGAAACCAAGTACTGTACTGTGTGGTACCCAACCCTTTTGACTCACCCTAAGATTATTCTGAGGAAGGAAGAGAAAGGATGTTGGTAGTGGAGGCCTCCTCACTTTCTTCCACAGCTCTTGTGTGTACTATGTTGGACTTGGAGGCTGCAATGACCCCATGGCCAGGCTGAAGAACAACACAGAAGTTTCCAGTGGACATCTAGCCTGGGGCTAATTGGGAAATGAGGCTCAAGAAACCCCGAAGACCAGTAGGAGAGACATCTGGGATGGCTCTCTTCTGACCACTGGTACCTGGTAACTCAGAACCAAATGTCATATGATATGGAACTCCGGGTGTCTTGGGAGATTCTTATGCTGGCATCTCTCCCACTCTGATGTCATAGACTTTTTCATTCATCAGTACAAAGGAAGTGATCTTGAGGCCCAACATGCTTTGTTACTCCAAAGTCTCCTTCCTCCGCAGGGTGCAGTCTATTACCCTTGGCACAGTGTCCAGCTCTCAAGTGCCCAGTGCAATTCAAACCTCTGAAGCTTTCCTTGACATCAGCTATGTGCTACGCACCACAGTAGTCACTGCCCGATTGAGATCCTCTTTCACACTGCATAGCAACTCATTCCCTAGCCAATCTGGCACATTCACTACTGTTTATTTCATTTCGTATTTCTTCTGCCTTTCAGGTAGCTGACAGGGTCGAAAGCTGTCTATGAAATCCTGACAACCTCCTCAGTCCAGTATGATTTTTATCAGGATAAACCATCATTGGCAACTGCCTATAGGTTTTCTTTGGTTCATTATTTGATGCCATGACTTCAGTACCCTGCAAGAGTTTAGTTCATCCTCAGGGACCTCAGCCATGGGCAAGAATCAAACCATCTATTCTCCAGGTGGGCTGGCAGTAGCACCCACTAGCTTACGTGTGCATTAGGCTGTTGATGTGTTTTCTATTTGACCCACTGAACTAACCTTACAGCTTGCTGTTGCTCAGCAGAGTTAAGCAATTCTGCAAGGCTGAAGAACCAGCCTGACTCGTCAGCCATCCCTCCAGAAACTACCAATGAAACTATAGACAACTCCAAAAGAGAGTCGGAGCTAGGAGCAGAAATGTACCCACCTCCTTAGAAAATGGATAAGTAGCCTTGCCTCACTGTGAAAGTCCTTGATTAGAAATTGGAATATCATCTAGGTCCAGCTGCCCAGTCTCTATGCTTAGACCCCCACTGAAACTCAGAAAAAGTCTTTCAGCTTCATGCATGTATACATGAGATGGTCACGAGTATCACATATTCAGTCAGCCACCAGAAGCCTGCCTGTCCAAACTGACACAGTTCCTCTCCTCTCCACAGTCCCAGGCCTCTGCACTTAGCTGCCTGATTTGGTTTCCAGCCCAGCTGATGTCAAACAGGAACCTGATATGTCTGTGTCTGTCCTCCTTGGGTGGAAAATGGTAATTATTCTAGGAAGCAATTTCTTTTCTACTAGACTGAAAAATCACTGAGGAATTTTGGAAGTACCCACCTGTAGCACAAATAATAAAAACCATAAGTGTGAATTTGTGCTTGGTTAACAAGGCTCCACAGGGGGTAGCAGGTTCTAAATCAATTTTCTAGTTTGGGGTGGTGTTTTTACACCAGCTTGGCTCTGTATACTGTCAGATCCTACACTCCAGTAGCAGAGATTAGCTGTTCTACATGCTGCTAACTGGTCCTCTTCTCACATGGTACCTTTCCTCTGATGTATACCAAGATTTAGCTTTCAGTTGTCACCTCCTTTAATTCCTGAACACTGCTTCAGTTTTTCTCTATATCATCACTAGAAACTTCACCTGTGGTACTTTTGAATTAACCATGTTCGTTATTTAACTAGATGTACATGTTTGAATGAGAATGTCCCCCATAGGCTTAGATGTTTAAACTCTTGGTCACCAGTTGGTGATGCTGTTTGGGAGGTTTAGGAGGTGCAGCCTTGTTGAAGAAAGTACTTCACTGGGATACAGCTTTGGGAGCTAAAGGGCTTAACCTGCTTGTAGTTCATTGCTTCTGTTTGTGCTTTCAGTTCAAGAGGTGAATTATTTCTTGTTCCTCCCACCCATGCCTGCTGCCTGCAGCCATGCTACAGCCTGTCATTGTAGAACTCCCTAGAACCATTAGCTAAAATGCACACACAAGTTGCTCTCATCATGGTGATTTATCACAGCAAAGTAAGTAATATTCTAGTTCTTCCTGGGTTTGGGGGAATGGTAAGTTTTCCCCTGTCAGCCACCATCAGTTTTAGAGTGGTTAATATTTATATGGTCCGTCCCTTTCTCTTTCTCTTTGGTGCTTTTCCATTTTCATGATACTTGTCTGTTTAGGAAGAAATAACAATGTCATCATGAGGTAAGGTGGTTATCAATTGCCATATTTTATTGAGAGAATTTGTTATTTAAAATAGAAATATCAGGCTGAGGAGTTGGCTCAGTTATAAAAGTGTGTGTCTTATAAATAAAAGGATCTGAGTTTGAGCCTCAGAACTCAATGCTAATAAACATAACAATAATAATGAAAACAAAAATAGGTTTGGTGGTACATCTTGTGTTCCCAGCACTGGAGAGGTTGGGGATTTGGATCCCTAGGATTCACTAGCCAGCCAATCTAGCCTATTTGATGAGTTCCTGGCCAATGAGAGATCCTATATCAAAGAAAAACAGGGAGAGGGGCATCCTCTAGTCTCTCTTTTTCACACATATACATAACACACACACGAAATATCTGCAAAAACTTTATTATGCATCAAGTAATCTATGGTGCAATTGAGATATAAATGAAAACAAATATTGTAGTTGCTTAGCATGTGACCTAGTAGAGAGCTTGTAAACAACACTGAGAATTATTCAAATGGAAAGTGCTACGCAGGAAGAGGCCATTGCAGTATGGATTGGCCATTGGAAAAGATGACACAGTATCTGTACTACTCTGTTCTCAGGTTGCTGCTGGACACATCTGCACAGGAGTACAGTAGGAGAAACCAAAGACCAGGCTATCTCACATTTGATAGGTGTGTTAGAGCCATGACAATTACACACTATAATGACGATTATACACTATAATAACAACCTACAAGCTAGAATACACAAACACTATCATTTTCTTTTGTTGAGACAGAATCTTGTTATTTAACCCAGGTGCTAGGATTACAGGTGTGAGCCACCATGCCCAGTTGGATTTTTTTGTTTTTTTGAGATAGGGTTTCTCTGTGTAGCTTTGGAGCCTATCCTGGCACTCGCTCTAGAGACCAGGCTGGCCTTGAACTCACAGAGATCCGCCTGCGTCTGCCTCCCAAGTGCTAGGATTAAAGGCATGTGCCACCAAGACCGGGAGTTTTTTTGTTGTTGTTTTTTTTTTTTTTTTGTGACACAGTCTCACTTTGTAGCCTTAGCTAGCCTGGAATTTACTATGTAGACCAGGCTGGCCTTAAATGCACAGGTCTGCCTCCCAGTGCTGGGACAAAACACATGTGCCGCCATACCCAACTCTGTTTCCATTCTTTTAGAAGAAGGGCCCGTGAGATGGCTCAGTGGGTAAAGGTGCTTTGTTGTGCAAGCCTGACTCGAACTTATATAAAGGTGTTAACAAAGTTGTCCTTTAATTACCACATGTGTGCCATGATACATGGCACCCCATGCTCACAGCATATACAGAATAATAATAAATAAAAGAGAAAAGCATCATTGAAGACAACAGGAACACGGCAGGGAGTGTTGCCTGAGTGGATGAAAGATGAAGGTGTAACCTTGACAATTACCCAAGAAACATAAGAGAGAACAAAAAGTCTGGTCTTACAAACTGAAATGTGTAAAAGGCACTTGTTTAAATATACAATTTACATATTTTCCTTTTAACATGTATATTTGGGTGACCCAGTCATCTATTAGGACAGCAGAACTAAGTCTCAAAATTGTCTAAGAGAAGTACAAAAAGCTCCTTTTATACCTGGGAAGTGACTGTTCTGCAGCCTCCAGTACCCAGAGTTCACATGTAGACCTGGGTTTGGGGCTAGGATTACATTTTCCTATGGAAATAACACCATATGCCAGAGGTTTGTCCCTAGGCCTTCCCAGAGCATTTAATTTGGGATAGTTAAGGAGATCAATTGCTCTAACACGGTTGCCCCTAGGAAATACACTGTAGCTCCAAGTCAGAACCAGAGGCAAACGTCTGGGCTCACAAGCATCACAGGCAGCGGCCAAAAGGGCTTTGATAGTGTTAGCTCTGGGCAGTTTTGAGTTTGGTCAGAACTGCCCAGGAATGCTGGTAGCTGCTGTTTGAACAGCTACCCCACCCTGGTGTTGGGGACGGGGCACTGTCTCTTGCATACTACCTTCAAGCAAGTCCTAAATGAGATGTGAACAATTTCTGGTTTTGAACTAATGGAATTATCAGAAATATTTCTTTTACACAATCTTCCCCTTTACTATCCAGTCATGTAGAGTTCATTCAATATATACCTTCATCAAATAAATGTTCTTTAAATAACAAAATACACCCATACACCTTCTAACATTTGGTGATAACAGTTCTTCGTCAGCTTCTGGGCTGTCCATCTGGAGTCAGCTCATACCTGTAAGACAGTCACGTTTGGACTTGTGTTAGTCATGAGAAGGTGGGGCTGCTACAACACAAGCAGCATAGTCTCTGGAGACGGCCGAACCCAACTAGTTGTCTGGGAGCTGCTGGCCAGGATTAGTTCTCCATTTACAGAGGGCTGCAGGCAGACCAACAGTCTGCAATACTGAAAAGGAGAGAAGTCTGGAGAGCAGGGCAGCAGCCTGAGACAGTGTCCTCTCTAGTTAACAGTGATGATGAAAAGGCACACTTACCACTGTGAAAAGCCCTTGATTAGATCTTCTTTTGATAAGTCAATCAGTACCTACACAATCACAAATATTAGCACCGTGTTAAATGGGAACACTCTGGGACAAACTGGGCTGAGAGTGAAGGGTCGCAGCTTTCAGCTGGGTATTTTCTTTTTTAAAAAATGTATCCTTTAAGAATTTCATACACATATATAATTAAAAATATTCGTATCCACACATGTCCCCATTTCCTCCTCCAGCTCCCACTAGAGCCACATCCCAACTTCATGTCTTTTTTTTTTTTTTAATAACCCACTAAATCCAATTAGTGCTGTTCATATGTGCATAGTATGGAGCAAAGGAGACCTACCAGTGGCCATGCCCCAAAAGAAGAATGGTCCCCCTCCTATTGACTGCCAATAGCTCCTCAGCTGTGGGTGGGGCTCCCTGAACCCTCCCCCATCCATCCATCAGGGTATTTCCCCTTCATCCTGGAGCCTTTCCAGAGAAAATGCAAACATCAGCCTCAGTGTTCTAGAACTATTTCTACCCAGCACTCAGGAGGCCAACCAAGGCAGGTGGAACTCTGTGAAGTTTGAGACCAGCCAGGGCTATGTAGTTAGTTACACGTAACTGTCTCAAAAACAAAAGCTGTTCCTGTTTGGAATACAATTTGAGATATTCAAAGAATATCTTCATGAATTACAATACTTAATTTTCAAGTTTATTTATGAAAACTTACCCATAAAAATGAGCATAATACCATCTGCTTCATAGGCAGAAAATACTGGCAGTTTTATAGAAGTAGGCGGTACAGAGATGAGTGCAGAAGGTAATTATTAAGATAAAATTACAGTAGTGCACGAATGCTATGGCAGAGTCTTCTTGGTACACTCCTGGGATTATATTTCCTCTAAGTAAAATTCTGTTAACACAGAAACCTTGATCTAATTCAATCTAAGTTTTTTTTTAATGATCTATTTATAAAAGTAATAGATAATACCAGAGTAGATGCCACATACTTACAGAATATGGAATTTGGATAGTCTCAGGGTTGTTAAAGTCTATACACGAGTTTATATTTCTATATTAGGTCTGAAGAATATGAAACAAACAGTCCTTTCAAGGAGGCTGTCCCTCCTTCCACGTTCTGCTCTAATAAGAGCTGGACTGGTTCCATCAGGTGTTAGGATTCAAGGAAATGACAACTACTTACTTTTCCCAATTCCTTTCTTCTGTGTGAGCCAAGAGGCCTACTGTTTTTCACTGCAACATCCAGTGATCTCTTCTGTACTTCTTCCATGGGAACAAAAAATTCAAATCTTTAAAAGTCAAAACATTAAAAATTAGATTTATATGTAATCACCTTTGTTGAAAACAGTGTTTCTTCCACTTCCCACTAAAACAAAAACTGTCAATTTTTAAAAGTGACAGAATCAGCACTGGCTCCTAGGTTCACAGGTAACGGTGTCACCTAAATCTACTAAGTGTCAAGAGACCGCCTGTGATAAGCCTCTCAGATGGCTGCTGTCTGGGGTGTGTTGCATCCTGACTCTACACTGCCTGCAATTTCATTGCTATCCTCATCTGGACCCACCCAGAGGAACATCCCCCTGTTCTGACAGCAGAAGGCCAGGATGCTCAGGAGGTAGGCTTGCTGGAGATTCATAGAAAATAATGACTGAGTCCCTCAGAGGTCTGTGTCATAATCAGCCTCATCAGAGAGCCACCTGGAACCTTACTTCTAGGTTTCTATTTAGGGTGAGGTTTGCTCAGTCTGCCTTCAGATAACCCTAGCTTTTATCTCGTAATTTTTAGAAAGAATGTCTAACAGATTGTCTTGATAATCAGTTGTTCCCTCCTGTGTTCTTTTGTGTCCATTTTAACATATTTGTATAATTGTGTCAGAGTTATTCTTCAAGACAGGGTACACTTTGTGGCTGTGGTTGGTGTGCCTGTCATAGGGTTCAGTGAATGTTCGATGGGCTTTCTTGCAGTCATTCTTGATAAGGATATACATAGACCAAAGAGGACTTGGTTCCAGCCTTTTAGTTATGATTAATTAAAATAAGAGGAAAAGAAAAATCATGTTTCCAACCTGGCTAGAAATGTTTTGTCTTAGGACTGCAAACCAGAGGAGGATACCAAGAATACAGTGACCTAGTGGTTAAGAACACTTGCTGCTTGAAAGAAAATAGCCCCCAAAGGGAATGGTACTATTAGAAGAAGGTGTGGGTTTGTTGGAAGAAGTGTGTCACTGTAGGTGGTGGGCTTTGAGGTCTCCTATGCTCAAGCTATATCTAGTGAGACAGACCACTTCCTGTTCCCTGTGGATCAAGATATAGGACTCTTAGCTCATTCTCCAGCACCATGTCTGCCTGCACACCATGGTTTTGCACCATGATGGTAATGGACTAAACCTCTGAAAATGTAAGCCACCCCAATTAAATGTTCTCCTTTATAAGAGTTCCTGTGATCACAGTGTCTCTTCACAGCAATAGAAACCCTAAGACACTGCTCTTGCATAGGATTTTAGCTCAATTCTCAGTACCCACATCAGGTGCTTCAAGACCATTAACTGCAGCTGCAGAGGATCAAACACCCTCTTCTGGACTCTGAAGGCACTACTACAGACGTGGAATACACATAAGAAAAAAAATTTAGGGACTTGTTACCACTGGACTCATCATCAAAAGCAAGAATATGCTGAGTCAGCCTGTCTGTAAGTGTTGTTCTCAAAGATGTAGATGAAGAGAAAGGATCTCTTTTACCTGCCAACCTTGTTATGTTTCAGGAGGGAAGAAAGGCCATAGAGCTGGGAGTATGCACTATCCCACCACTGTGAACATTTTATCCTCTTCAGAGCAGCAAATGTGAGCAGCTTGATCGCATTTTTGGATAAACTGCCCTAGCAGCCTTTTCCCCACTAAAAAGTATATAGGTGCTTCATGAGGTCAGCACTTTGCCCTGGTCAGCCCAGGCCCGAGGTTTCCTTCCGCTTGAACCTGCCAGTGTTTGGCACTCAGTTCTATGAAAATAGGTGGTTGGCTAAGCCCTGCTCTACTCACGTTTCATCAAATAGGGGCTCCAGTGTCTTCCTCTTTACTGAGGTCTTCTTGCGACTGGCCCATCTCCTTTCTGGTAATAGGTAGATGCGAACATAGGGATCAGCTCCACTGCTGGTACATGGTGTCAGGTTTCTGATGTGCAGAGAAAAAGAGTCCCTGAGTAGTCATTTGGGAGAAAGCTGTACCACTGGGGATTAGATGGGCTAGAGGATTAAAATTCTCTGTACTCAAACAAAAGGCAAAAGCCTACAGAAGTAAAGGACAAGATATCGACTGAGTTTTTGATTGTACACATTTTTGTGCTGTCTGAGATAGAACCAAGAACTTTGTACCTAAGGAAGTTGGGGTTCCTGCTTAGAAGACCTACTTGCCCTTGGCCACCCCAAGACAGTAGTGAGTCTGAGCAGAGCCCTTGACTCTTGAGCCCATCAGTACCAACAAAGAATGACCACTCAACATGTCCCTTTGAGGATTTTTGCCACCCATGGCCTATAGGTCCTCAAATGTCACTTAGAAGTACATGGCTCTTGTCATCACTCTAAGCACCCCTTCTATATGGTCACCTGATACTTGCAAAAGACTCCATGGTCCCAGAATCTCTTTACCTGCACCCGTTGACTAGCACCCTGAGACAGTGTCGAAGGCACACATAGCGCACTGTGAGCTGAATCTCACCCAGCCGGCGCTGCCTAGGATCCTCATCTCTGTGGGAAAAAAGGGGAGCCTGTCACAGTAAGAACTGTTCCTCTCCCTTCACCTGAAGGTAGAGGAGGATGTCTATGTAAGGAACACATACTCATCTGGGTCAATAATTCTGGTTCCATCCAGCGTTCAGTAATTATCCTACTTCTCAGCAGAAAGCATAAATAAACCCTAAAATGGATTAGCCCTTATATCCTGATTGCTTGTGGGGCTTGAGGGAATTGGGATTTTATAATGGTCTCTTCTGTCTTGTAGGGTTATAATGAAGATTGAATTAAATCAGATAACTTGCTAAGCCATAGGAAGCACTTAATACATGGCAGCCACTTATTATGTAAGTACATTCTAAACCTTTCATGTTATCCCCCTATATTCAGAATTCAGGAAATGTTTCTATGGAAGGGACTTTTATAACTGAAGTCATTATGTAGCCAGAACTGTAAACCAAGAGTAGGGCTTGCCCCTCACCCCATGTTCTTCCTATTAGTCCAGGCTGCTCTTGTAAAGACATGCTGTGAGAAACCTGGACTCGTGCAGGTCTGTAAGTTCCTATCTACTCCTCCATCCAAGGACCTACTTTCCATGCAGGTTATATTAGAGAAGATCAAGCAGAGAGATGCATACACAATGTTGAGGCTGACATCTGTTAGGTCAAAGCAGGAAGAGGCCAGGGAGTTGAGTGAGGACATGCTGGGAGCCAGCCTTGTGGGTGGCCATACGAATGGGAAGGCAGGGCGGCTCATGGGTCTGGGTGACTTGATGGGCCCAGGGGAGTGGGGGCCTGGGACAGTCAGAAAGATGGTAGCTGGGATCCTCTTCTTCCCCACGGGCTCACAGAGCCCTTTGGCACTGTCCTTGCCTTTGGGCTCCAGGCCTGTCTCTTGGGGCTCAGGCTCAGTGGCTTTAGTAGTAGCACTGCTGGTATCTGTGCTCTTGGAGGCTCCCTTAATGTCAGAGGCAAGATCTGAGGCACTTGTCACATCTGCAGGGCCTTCTCCCTGGGATGGGGTTTTGTGATCCTGGTTGGTGGCCACCTTCTTGATGAACAGAGGGCCTTTCTTTACAGCATCAGGTCCAGTATATGGGCTTCCCAGCTCTCGTTCCTCCACACGTAAGAACTGGAAGCAGATCACAGGGTTGGGAACAGAAGGTAAGGGGAAGTTCTAGAAGGAAGGGTTAGATGAATGAAACGGCAGGGTTTGAAGCAACAAAGAGATGATGGCTGATATATTTTTTGAAAATATCTCCTGGCCCCAAAGAGACTGAGCTTTTGGCAGACCTCACAGCAAAGTTACTAATACCCTTGACAGCATTTAAGACTGTACTTAATTAACCTGCTGTCCTACTGTGCACCCCGCCTGTTGAAGTTTTCATCCCTTAATGCAACATCAAGGAAGCCGCTCTCTGAGGTTATCCTTAATGCATTAACCCAATGAGTAGATGGAGACATAAACCTCTCTCCTGACTTCTGCATTCAACAGATACTCAGGCCTGAGGCCTGTTCCACGCCAGCCCTACCCACTGAGAAAGGAGATATTTACCCGGAGCACCAGCCTCATGGAGATGAGGCTGTCCAGGCCTGAGTGATCCAGCTGGAAGCGCTGCTCAAGGGTGAGGTTGGCACAGGGGAGGATCTGGCACAGGGGAAATTCCAGCACGCCCAGAGCACACTCCAGGTCATCATCCAGCACCTGGGCAGTGGGCCAGTCACAAAGCCAGTGGGTGCCCTAAGCCCACTATGCCACCACTGCCATCTGGCCCTACTGAGTCTGAGCTTACTTCAATAAGTATACACTGCAGAGCAATTAGCATCTGGTGGTATTCTGCGGATGGGATTGGCAACAGACCAGACCTTGTACCTGCCTGGATCTAGGGAAGGGAGTGACTTATGGTGGAGGTGATCCTGGTCTGCATGAGGCCAGTCTGGCATACACCCAGGGCCAGCGGGGCTTTTGGGCCTGCAGTATGGTAGGGTGTTTAGGCTCAATTCAGGGCTCAAAACAATCTCATTCAGCTCTAGCACTTGTAGGCCATGCACACTTGGGCAGATGGTTGCTTTAGCTCTATTTGCTCCTGTCAAAAGGAGGGAACTCGTGCAGATCTTAGCCCAGGACTCTCCCACTGTGAAGATCACTGCAAGGAGAACTAAGGGAATTAATGGTTGGTCTTCCCACATTCTCTTACATGGTGACCTTGGGCACCAGCCTCAAGCGGCTGAGAGTTTGTGGGGCCCCATATCCTCCCACACACTAGGGGGCTGACTACTGGTGGAGCTGCCCAAGGTACACAGAAAACTCTCTCCTGCCCTTGGCCTAGAAAGTTCCCAGCTGTCCCCAGAGCCCAGCTTCCAGCAAACCTTCAGGCAGAGCTGCTCAGCTGTCACACTGTGCACGAAGAAGGAGAACACCTGGCTCCATACAGGGTCCTTGCTGTGGGGACAGGTCTGAGAACAGAAGAGAGATCATTTAAGGGCCGGGTTGGATATGCTCTGCTCTGTGTGACCACCGGCTGCCATGAGGAGCCAGGGGACAGCCAGTGTTACAGGAAAGGCATGGCTTCAGACCATGCCCCAAGATAAACCCTAATTCTGCTGCCCCATCCTTGGTGGAGTCACTTAGCTCTGTAGTTTTTCGATTTTGAATGAAAAAGCCACATAGGGAAGGGATTCCGAAGGCTTTCTAGGCATTCAGTGTGGGAGTTCCCTTCACTGTGCCTTTCCTTAAAAAAGGGGTGGGAGTGCCATTTCCTTACCGCAGGCCTACACAGAACTGTCTTACCTTACTAGTAAATGTCTTCTTGCCTACAGATAGCTTGACATACGAAGAAGGGTCTCTGCTGGCTTTATTCTGTAAGGGGGAAACCCACAATGTTTTTAGGGTGGGCCCAAGACAGCTCACCTTTCCCCATGCTCACTCCTCCCCGTCAGGCATGCTAACGAGTTGTAGGGCAGCTCCTGCTGGTGAAAAATCTGCCTGATGTCCAAGGCTGCACTATGGCATGAGCACTGTGCTAATCCCGAGGAGGAACCCTGAGCTGCAGACCAGAGACAAGAACTACAACAAACATGTCCAGTTCCATCTTCCACTATGCCCAGGCCCTCCACCTTCTGGGTCCGTTTTATAAAATGGCAACCACTCTTGCCCAAAACAAGAAAACCTGGAATACATACATACTATGGGACTCCAGGACAATGAATCATCAAGCCTAGTACCTTGCACAGTAGACCTAGTAAGCCCAGGCTGCGTGACAGACAGGTCCTGGCTGCAGTCACTTCAGGGGAAAGGAGTCAGCTTCTCAGCTATATGCACTTACTTTGGCAAACCTGGAGAGTTTTTTGGCTCGATATTCACCATTCAGGTAGTCAAAAGGGTTTCTCTGCAGCACAAGAATTGGGGTTAAAACAACACATGGGCATTTGGCTGTGACGAGCCTAAGGCAGATGGGTATCATGACTCACCGGCAGGTTGCAGGCATTTTCTAAGAAGACCACGAGGATGGCGGAGGAGTGGCCATCATGGTCCTGCAAACAGACACAGACCTCACTGAGTAGTCCCAGAACCAGGAAGACAGGCAGGCTTTGGAAAAGTCTACACAGGGCAGAAGGAAGCCAGACAGCCCGCCAACTAACAACCAGCTGTATGTTGTCTGAGAGCTCATCTACAGCAGGACATGCTCATGTCAGACACAGGGAGATGTCCCTATGAAACTGGGTGACACAGAGCTCTAAGGACCCCATCTTTCCTGAGGGACGAGGAGCTGCCCTGGTGAAAAGAGCTAGACGGACATGCTCTCTAGGAAAAGAGCAGTAAATGGGGGGCAGGGTCCTGCCTGCCTGGCCTCTACCTGCACACAGTAGGGAGAAGTGGGTCTCCTCCCCTGACAATCCTTTCTGTGACGGAGCCACCGCCACCCACTCACCTCCATCAGGGCTTCCTGGTCAGTGAGCAGGGACAGCCACTCCAAGCGCAGGTGCAGCCTCCCACTGGTTGTGTCGTTCAGGACAAACCACTGTGGGGCAGGAGGAGGAGAGGAAAGCTCAGGGTGGAGATGTGCTACTCAGAGTTTGGGGGCTGCTTAGTTTTCATACTAGGGGAAAGGTTAACCAACCCAAAGAAGGCACAGCAGAGGCTGTGGGACTGGCAGATGGGGGCAGAAGTCTTAAACTCGGGGACAGAAAAACCCAGGTCCAGCCTCCTTCCTCAAGAATTTGACTTCCCTTGCCAAGTTCCCTTAGTCTGTGGACTTCTAACTCCAGCCCTACAGGCCTCCCTGCAGCCATCTGGGCCTCACCCATTGTCCCTGAGAATGAGTACGGGGACAGCCCTGAAGAGAGAGGGCCCATCGCATAGGGGCAGATGGCTGAAGTGGCCTGCTACAGCCATGCACTGAAAGGGGTGTCCCTGGGATCCCCGGGCGGCTGGGTGCGCTACCTCATCCACCACTCTGTTCATCATGACATCTCCGAGGCAGATCTGCAGGCTGGAAGACAGGGAGACCGTAAGAACAACCGTGGCCACTGGGACAGCGTCTCCTCCATCCCAGGTAAACAGTGGAGACCATTTGCAGCTCGAGAGAAGGGAAGGACTAGCTAACCTTATGCTCCATTGGACTTATGCTGTGGGGAGGGAGTGGCTCCCAGCCCCAGAGGGGACAAGCAGAGGTCTGCATTTATCACCTCTGGGTTTTTCAACAACACGGATGTTGGCACGTTGAGTGAGGTGATTCTTCATTGTGCAAAACCGTCCATGCATTGCAGGAATCTGGCTTCCTGGCTGAACCTGTGCCATCTAAATGCCAGAGGTACTTTAACAGTTAAATGCCCCTCTGACTTAAAACTGGTACCAGTGCCCTGCAGGTGGCACTAACTGATGATATATGTGTGAGGAAGCCAGGAAGTCCCATGTCACAATGTTCCCCTAGCATATCATGAGCCAAACCCAACCCGTAGGTCCTGCCAGCCAGAGGGAGGATGCAGTTCCTATGTGACTCAGAAGTGAACATGCATTCACCATGTACCTGAACTCAGCCCTGGAAGGCAAGTGCTGCAAGCCTCACTTCCCACCTACAACACTGTACTGGAGTCTCACCGCGGAGAAACTAGAAATGATGGGTACCCAGCATGAGCAGTGTCTTCTATTTATTTGGTCATGTTTAAACTTGTTATAACTCCATACTCAGGGAAACAAGCTGCATATACAGGGCAGAAGATTCAAGTCACTTCTTCACCTGCCTCCTGCCCTAAGGAATAACCAGCTATGTCACCCCCTCATGCTCCTCTTCTCACTGACACAGGCAAAAGTACATCCCGGCCCCTCTTCTGGAGGCTGGATCCACCTACACTGTGCCTTTCCTTAATCCATAGCATACCACACAAGCTCTATATCCAAACATTCAGCCAGTGTCTTCCTAGATGGAGGAGGAGGTTACATGGCCATAGAGACTTTGACAGTAAGCATTTAAGGTCTAGTGCCTTTATAGGTGGTTCCTCAAGGCAGAACTTGTCTAGACTAAAAGTGAGATTCCATCAAGCAGCCCAGGGGGGTCACTTCAATCCTTCCACAGCCTTGAGTTCTGGGTATCAGCACATGGGGAGTGACCAAGGCTTCTTCAAGTGGAGCACCTAATCATCATGTCACCTTGGTCACTGTTCCAAATGGGACTCTGGGTAAATTCTCAGTGGGGACATGAGCCAGCCCTGGGGTCCACTCTATTACCTTCTCCTCCAGAGCCTAGGTCAGGCTGGAGACACTCGGGGTGGTTTGTAACAGGACTGCACCATACTAGAGCAGATTGCCTAGTACAGTCTGTCACAATGGTCATAGAGTTGAAAGTCACTAAGTAGTGAGGCCTGTGCCCTCTAAATGCCCCAAGGTCCAGCCTTATATACCCCAAGCAGTGAAGAAGCTCCAAAGCCCAGATCCCCACGTCCTCACCTGCCCAGGAAGTCATCCCTGTCGGTATCTTCATCATACAGGTCCACCTCCAGGTCCTGCCCAGGCACTTCATACACCATGAACTGCAAGGAGAGAGAAGCATCTTGCCCGCTGAATCAGACCTTACAACCCACAGGCAGCCAAAGCCCAGCTTAGGGCCCTGCCTAGAAGGAAGCAGAGCAGCAGATACAGCACAAGCACGCCATAGCATGGTGCCTGGAGGACACTGGCTGCCATCTGCTCTGCCTCGTGCTGTCACACTCTCCTCACCTGGGGGCTGTGGGACATCAGGGAACTAAGCTTCCCTTTCTTATCCTGCTTCCACTGTCTGGGGCCAGATGTAGCAGAGCATGTAGATAGTGTTAAAAGGAAAGGGGCAGCTAGGGGGTGGCCCTGAAACATGACTGACAGGCTGTCGGTTCCACCCCTCCAGAAACAGGCAAGGCTGGAGCCATAGGAACCGCCTGTGCACTGTTCTTTCCCTTCCACTTGGGCACTGAAAACAGGGTCAGAATAGCCTACCTGTGCACCTGCTGGGTGGGGCATACAAAGATCTGCCTGCCCATTAACAAGTCTCTCCCCGAACCCTGGTTTGCCTGTTGGGCCATGAGAGCCACTGTGCTCATCATAGCCCAGTATGAAGCCTGGAGACACTAGGACTTCCTAGACAGATCGAAGAGAACCTTACCTCAAACACTTCATTCCAGGTGGGGTCCAGGCTCTTGTAGACAGTCCTGCTCCGGCAGTGCTGCAGGCCAATGCTCACCTTGGCATATGGGTCTGACTTGCCTCCAAGCCCTAGGAAGTTGTCCTTCTGGGCCAGCTTCTCGGCCTCCAGCAAATGGACTCTGATCACCCCCTGAGAAACACCCAAGTCCCGGGTCACAACTGCGTCCTTGACTTGCCAGCCTCAAGTCCAGGATCCCAGGGCCAAAGCCACCAGAGGTCACTGCTGCCCCTTCCACAGTATAGACAAAGATGGCAGCTAGGCAGTGACCTAGCCAAGGCCACACAATAGTTGGTGGCAGGGTCCACTGCTCTGCCCAAGGCTCTGGCACACACTCTTCCAGACTTGACATGAACAGCTGGTTCAGTTGAGGCTGTTTCTGTCCCTCCTTCCTTCATTGTGGTGATATTTTGTAATCTAGTAAACCTTTCTTGAAGATCAGAATGCAGAGCTAAGCCACTAATTAGTGTCCCCCCACCCCCCCCTCCACACACACACTAGGCCACTAGTTAACCCTAGAGGACAGGCAGTGGTATCCCCACCTTCAATCCCAGCACTCAGGAGACAGAGGCAGATTGGATCTCTGTGAGTTCAAGGCCACCCTGGAATATGAGTGAATCAGTCTAAAACAGATACAGAGCTCACATCTTTAATCCCAGAACTAGAGAAAATTTAAGGCAGGAGCTCAGTGCAGTCTGAGAGACTTCATTCTGAGGATTTGTGGAGATAGGATCACCCTCTCAGTCTGAGGTAGAGGTAAAAGCTAGTAGCTGGCTGCTTTGCTTATCTGTCCATCAGCTTGAACCCCATTATCTATCTCTGGGTTTTTTTTTATCCGTGCTACACTTCAGCACTACTGTGAAACTTGTCCATAAACTGAACACTAAGGATACTCCAGGCAGCATGCTGTGGGCCTGCCTGCACTGGTGATAGGTCTCTGTGTAAATGCCCCAAGTATCACCCACCACAGGGCAGACCCTTTCCCCACACTCCCACTGTTGAAAAGAAACACAAAGCCATTTGGAAAGTCATCGTTCATGAGTCTCAGGGTATGCCTCTTTCCTAGATGTGTTTTTTTTTTTAAAAGATTTATTATGTATATAGTATTCTGTCTGCATGTATCCCTACAGGTCAGAGGAGGGCATCAGATTTCATTGCAGATGGTTGTGAGCCACCATGTGGTTGCTGGGAATTGAACTCGGGACCTCTGGAAGAGCAGCCAGTGCTCTTAACCTCTGAGCCATCTCTCCAGCCCCATCCTAGATGTTTTTTAAAACCAGTTAATACACATTTTCTTTGATCTCCAAAACCACTTTGGGGGATCTATCCATGGGCACACTGGAAAATCATAAAAGAGCCGCACACAGGCTGCTCATTGTACTATTGTTTGTAGCAACAAAGTCCAGACACAACCTGACTATCCATCAACAGGGCTGTGGTGTAGTGACAGTACCTCCCACAGTGAAGCACTTTGCAGCCATCAGCAGGAATGCAGAAGGCTCTATCTGTACTGTGGCATCGGGGTTCTGTGATAGTTTTAGCAATAAAAGCAAGGAAGGGAAATAGTACATTAACACCTATCAAAGAAATGGGGACCATGATAACTACCACTTAAGGCCTTTTCTTCTGTAGAAGCTTCCTAAAGTGTACACACACACACACACACACACACAGAGTTACTCTAACAGTAGGGTGACAGTGTTCCCGCTATACTTCACAGGCTAACAAGAACTCAAGTGCCAGGAATAGGTTACCTCTGTTGGAATTGTTGGCTTCACATACTCCCAAACATTACAGTCTATTGTCAATGCTCTTGTTTACTCTCCAGAACTTGGTAAGACCCTTGTGGTGATGTGAAAGAAAATGCCCCCCAAAGGGAATGGCACTATTAGGAGATGTGGCCTTTTTGGAGGAAGTGTGTCACTGTGGGGACTGGCTTTGAGTTTTCTTTTGCCCAAACTTCCCACAATGTGACTTTCAACTTCCTGTGGCCTGCATATCAAGATGTAACCAGTACCATGTCTGCCTGCACACTGCCATGTTACCCACCATGATAACAGACTGAACCCTGAAACTATGTTTTCTTTATAAGAGTTGCTGTGGTTATGATTTCTCTTCAGAGCAATAAAAACCCTAACTAGCACAGAGAAACCCTGTCTCAAAAAACAAAAAACAAAACAAAACAAAACCTAAGACAACCCTGTTGCTGAAGATATCATATCCTTAAGTCATGGAACTTGGAGAGATCAGGCTGGCATTGACCTGGAGGCTTCATTTTCTACTGGCTAACTTTCATGGTGCTATGCATGTTATTGGAGGAGAAAAGCCATCAACCTTACCTAGCTGTGAACCCTGAAAGCTGCAAGAATGACTGGCCTGGCAATATATGTCCACTGGTACAATAGCAGCAGAAATATAGGAGTAAACAACCACTTTTTGACTGAACTTAAGGCTCACTCCACAAAATGAAATCCATACCTGGGACTCTTACTGGTTTCGAGTCTATAGTTAGACAGTCCAGGGCTTCAGGGGAGAATATACCACTATTTTGCTAAATGAATGCAGTATTAAACTGACTCCCAATGACTTACTGTTATAACCGTATATCAGAGCATCTCTCAGCCCTCACCACAGCAGCTTCTTTTTGCAGTGGGTGGTGATTGGCACAGAGACCCATAACTCACCAAGGTGCAGAAAACAAGAGACTGGAATGCTCAGCCCTAGAGTGGATATATCACAACCTACCTCAGGGATCATTGTGGAAGTGGAAAGACTGTGAGAGTCAGAGGTGTTGGATGGCTACAAAGAAATAGTATTTTCCAGACATAGCAGGGGAGCTGCATATAGGAACTCACAGTGGTTGTGGCAGCATGCCCAAGACCTGTGCAAGCTCAAACAAACAAAGTTCCAGGGAGACGGAAAGTCAGGTTATAGCCGCTGGTAGGTTAGTTCTCCTTCTCCTAGCAACTATCAGCTGCCGGTAGCTCCTTAGCTAATTGGACTGGGCCTCCATGGCCTTTGTGTCCATCTCCCCTCTCCAAAATATACTATATGAAATTCTCAAAGAACTAATCAAGACCTAAAAATAAAAAGACATGGGGATTATGGACATAAACAAAGATGTACACATATGACTGTGTATGTTTATGTGTTCACATTTACTAACACTCACATACAATGGGAAGAAAGCCATTTCTTCTGTGGTGGGGTGGGGGTGGGGGAAAGGAACAAGAAGTAGTGAAGCTCCTTAAGATGCAGTTTGGTATTAGCCTTTAGAAACACACAGCTGTGTTATATAATGACAGAAAATTAAAAGGTAAAGCTTGAGGATAGAGAATGGAATGAAATAGATGTAAATGTTCATGACCGGTTACCAAAAAAACGCACAGAAGTTATCTCCCAAAGAGTTCTAAATGTGGCAAATTGTCAGTGCAGCCCTAGTGGGATATGCACATTTGAGAACACCATGCTTTTAGGAATTCTTCCATGCGTGAGATGGTGCTTACATTGTTACGGGGCTGTTGCATATGTACTGTAATGAAAGCCAGTGAGCTGCCATGGGAAGGCTGGGGAGGTCCACGCTGCCTCCCTAGCCAGCCCATATCCCTGAACTTGTGTGCACTACAGTATGTGTCGGGGGGAGCATGAGCAGAAGGACTGAAGCTTTTCACCTGGCAGAGGGTGAAATGGATATGTTTTCCTCTTCCAGGGCCTCTAACTGCAGCCCCTTAGCCAGTGCTACTTTTTTGTAGGGCAATCTCCAGGTGCCTCATGAATGGACCTCAGGAAGTTGGGGGAAGTGGGCTCAGCTCAGGTCCCAAAGAATTCGCATCCTAGTTCAACCACGAACCTTCCTTTTCTGTAGGTGCCAAGGTCCTTTCCACCACTGAACAGAGTCAAGGAGCCCTCCTGAGGGAGGAAGGGGGACCTCGGGGGTCATGGAGTGCCTTCCTACAGTTCAATTGCAAGCTACACTGGGGACAGGAACATGGTACAACTACATGGGTGCTGCCTCTTCCCAGATGGTGACTTTGGGTAAGTCACACAACCTTCCCCGTCTCTGGCCCCTGTGAAATGGGTTGCCATGGCCTCACACTAGAGCATGACGATGACCACCAATGAGCACTGTTCAGAACCCAGCCCTGGCCAGCGTCCCTCCCTCATTGACCTGATGCTCTGGAGCCAGCTGCTGGTACTCACGCAGGGCAGAGGGAAGCGCAGGTTGGTTATATCCAGCCCCTTCTTCACAGGCACAGTCACACGGTTGGGCAGCACCAGGTGGGCAGCAATGAGGTCTTCCAGCAGGCTGTCTGATACATCACTGAAACATCAGGCATGACCAGTTGGGGAGGGGTGGGTGACTGCTTCCCTGAGCCTGTACCATTCCTCAGTGCTGGCACTGAGAGACTAGCCTGGCAGAAGGCTCCACCAGAGGCAACACTTATCTCTTCCTGATCAGCTGCTGGGCATGAAGCGGATATTCATTCTGAGATGTAGACATATTGACCCAAGGAACAGCATCCTGCTTGCACTCCCTATCCCCAATAATAATAATTTAAAAAAGGCCCTGCTTTGTTCCCAGGCAACACAGAGCGCTTTAAGGACCGATCCCAGGCCTAGGTCCAGATTCCCATTCCTTCTCCCTAGCTGCCCTGCCTCAGATGGGTGTCCCTTGACATCAGTGTCCTGACACAGGGCTGCTAATGGCTGCCCCTGGAGTAGAAGTGAAGGGATTGGTGGGTACAGCACCGAGAACAGTGCTGAGGTCATAAGAAGACCTAACAGCCGGCCACTGAAGCCTTTCTCCTCCTTGACCCTGTGACACTCTCCATTCTTTGGCTCACCTTCCCCCACAGGGGGGGGGCGGTACCCAGAGCAGGACCAGCACACAATAGGTGCTCAAAAAGTCTCCTTTGAATAGCAGTGCATGACTGCTTAAATGGGACATCTTCATCAACGCCCTTACCAAAGTTCACGGACCACCATGGAGCAGGAGGTGGAAGAAGGAAGAGCCAGAGGACAGGTAAGTTACATGCTGGCTCCTGGACATGCCATGGCTATCATGCTCATGAACTCAGAGCAGCTGTGGTTACCTGCACAGGACATACACAAGATCCAAGCAGCCAAAATTTAAGCCTAAATGGGGAGGAGCTCTCCAGGCCTCACCAATAACTGAGAATCCTTTGGCAATGGACAGCTGTTGGTAGAGGGAGAATCATTCCTGGGGGTGTGGCCACTGGTAGATTTTCCATGCTTCAGTAGATGGCCCCACACTCATGCACAGATAGGCAGCATTAATTGGACTTCATGGGTTATTTAAAATAACAATAAGAAGAGGACATGAAGTTGGGAGGAGGGTGTGTTGGGGGCCAGGGAGAGTTAGAAGAGGAAGTGGATGATGAACAGATTTCACTGTATCCATGTTTAAAATTTTCAAAGAATGGAAGGAAAGGTGCAGGACTGGATTCTCTTCATTTAGAATGATGAGATCAAGGGGACCAGCCCAGTGAGCATATGGATGGCCCTCCTTGGGGCCTAGAGAGACAGCCAATAGCTTTCCCGACCAGTTCAGATGACCCTTCCTCCTGGAGAGGCAAATCCAATGATGTTGGCCTCTGCTGGGAAAATGCCCCCTTTCTTTCTCTGTGCATGTCAACCATGGTCACAGGAGCCACCCGGGCTTCACACTGCACTAGGGTAGTGAAGGGTGAAAGTGAGGACACTCACCTGTCTTCCACACACAGGATGATTCTACCACATATATGTGCATGTATGTGCTCTGGGAACCTCAAGACAGCCTGGCCCTTCAGTCTAGCATTGAGCAAAGTTCTTAGCAGGAGTGTGTGCACCTGTCCACAGGTTGTTGTCTTCAACAACAACAACAACAACAACAACAACAACACACACACACACACACACACACACACACACACACACACACACACACACGTGTCCCCCAGTACGTGTCCCCTTTTCCCACTCCTTACGCAGGGTGGGGTAGAGGGTGTAGCCTCGGTGCTGCTCACAGCACTGTAAGGACTCCAGGGAGCCTGCCCGCCCCCAGGCACTTACTTGATACCTGGCATGTCCAGCAGGTTGGTCAGGCCGGTCCAGTTGATCTGCAGGTGCTGCAGAGGGCAGAGCGAGGGTGCTAGGCTCAAAGAGCTGGGAACCCAGGACTGATCTTTTTCCAAACTCTTCATACCCCCAAAAGGGAGAAGCCTACTTGCGGGGATGCCCCTGCTGCAGGACTAAGGTAGGGAGGATGTCTCTCAGCCTGCCAAACCTGCCCTGGGGCATGGGAGAGTGTCCTAGCTAGCTTTGTCAACTTGTCACGGCTTAGAGCCAGCTGAGAAGCTTCAACTGAGGGATTTCCCCGATCATACATAGGAGGGCGTCTTGATTGTTAATTGATATAGGAGGGGCCCACCCACCCACTGTGGGTGATACTATTCCCTAGGCAGGAGGGGTCTTGGGCTATATAAGAAAGCTAGGTAAGCATGAGACTAAGTGAGCTAGCAAGTAGATTTCCTCTATGGTGTCTGCCTTAGGTCTCTGCTTGAATTCCTGCCCCGATGTCCCTCAGTGATGGACTGTTAACCATATGCTGAAATAAACCCATTCCTCTCCTAAGTGGCTTCTAGTCAGTGTTTGAACACAACAACAGAATGAAACTAGAACAAGACTCCAAGCCTTAGCTTTGGCTGCGGCTCCATGCCAGGACCACCAGAGAAGGGGGCTGTGCCACACAGCCAGGTTGGCCTGCTCTCAAGAGCCCAGGTTTGTCTCAGCTCCCTTCCTGAGACCTTGTGACCCTCTTCCAGCTCAGGTCCTCATCATGGGCAGAGCTCAGTCTAACCCCTTGAGGTTGCCTTAAGGACCCAATTAGGTTTCCGCCATAAGTGTCCAGCTGTGGTGGGTTGAAGCAATGTCCATTCTCTGGCTAAATCCCAATATGTGAGGTCCGATGTTGGCTCATGGATAGCACCAGGCCTGTCCCTAGGCTTTAGCTCACCGGCTTTTGGAGGAAGAATATGGTCACAGCTCCCACAAAGGGCTTGTCCACCAGCAGGGGCTCCAGGATGACACGCAGGGTGCCCTGCAACTGGTAGACAGAGAGAACTGTGAGGGACCAGACCTCTTTTCATATCTGCCACTCAGGTCAGTCCTCTTATGGCTTCATTGTCACTCATGCCACCCTCCATCCCTGTCAGGGTGACCTACCTCGGTCACTTGCTATCATGAACCCACAGTTCATGTTCAGGGGCCTAGACATAGCTAGGACCCCGCTGCTGGCCACCAAAAGCCATGAACTAACTACACTGTGGTGTGTGGACAGATGGGGTGGCTGGGACACAGAAGTCACTTCCAAATCTGCACACAGCTTAAGAGGGTATGTCCACCTCCCAGGCCTACCTGGGTCTCAGCTATGGCTCTCCCTCACTTTCCTAGGCAGACAAAACCTTTAGAGACTGTACATACAGGTGGCTCAAGAGCCCAAGGTCCAGTAGGTTAGTGAAGCCCAGCACCACTTGCTGACTATGTGACCTCACAGCTGCTCCCATGTCACCAGCCCATGCCTGGTACCATCAGTGTCCTTTACAGCACGTTCCAGTGTTGTGGGAAATTATTTTAAGGTGTACGACTTTTGTTTATGCTGCATTTGTTTAACTCTGTGAAGCTGTGCTACTTTGCCTGTCTAAAACACCTGATGGTCTAATAAAGAGCTGAACGGCCAATAGCAAGGCAGGAGAAAGGATAGGTGAGGCTGTCAGGCAGAGAGAATACATAGGAGGAAAAAACTGGAAGAGAGGAAGGAGCAGCTAAGGAGCAAAGAGAGGAGGACAGTAGGGGTCAGTCACCATGCTAGCCACGGAGTAAGAGTGAAAGTAAGATATACAGAAGTAAGAAAAGGAAAAAAGCCTCAAGGCAAAAGTTAAATGGGATAATTAAAGATAAAAAAAGCTGGCTAGAAACAAGCCAAGATAAGACCAGGCGTTTGTAACTAAGAATATGCCTCTGTGTGTGACTTATTTGGGATCTGGGTGGCGGGCTTCCCCAAAAGAACAAAGAGTAATAGCATCCCAGTGTGAGCTGCTTCTACTTCCCTGAGCCCACTGCAGGGGCTGGAGCAGCCTTCATGGCATCCTCACTCACCTGGATGCCATTCACACCTGCTCGGATCTTCTGAAGCTCCACGCTGATCTCACAGTCCCCAATATAGCTGAAACAGGGAGGGTGAAGAAGAGAGGAAAGGGGGCGGGGCTACTGCTCAGAGCAGGCAGGACACTTGCCCAGAGATATCACAGCCTCAGCCCTTGTTGCTAGCCATCAAGTCTCATGTCACTTTTTCCATAGCCTCAGACTTCCCGGGCCCCTCCCAGACTCCTGCACCTGGTGTCTTAGGCATATCCCCACCTCTGTCTAAGAAAGCAGGGCTTTGTGGTACCACCTAGCTCCAGAGCACCCATGGATGAAAAGGACCAACTTCTGGGAAATATATTGTTCCTGTACCATTTCTGGATCCCTGACCAAAGGGACACACGTGCAACTCCCCCAGGTTCATCCTGCCATCACCCCTAGTTGTTGCTGGAGGTTGAGGTAGGCGATAAAGCCTTGGAGACAGGACCAGCTGGTGGCCCCTGTCAGGTGATGGACACTAAGGAACCCAGAATGGGTGCTTTTAAGGGTAAAAGTCAAGAGAACTGCCAAAGGTCTGAAGGAAGCTAAGGGGAGGTGATTGTCACACACCTGCACACATGGGCATATGAGCCTGTTGATGAAGACCACAGAAATGCTTGGTACCAGGAACAAGCAGAACAGGGTGGCAGGGGTGCCAATTACCACCCAAGAGGCTGAACTATTCATACGAGGGTCTTATGACAAAGCATCTGGGGCCAAGGGCCCTTTATGGGTCTGCCACCATTCCAACACAAAGGAGGCCAGCTCCTAATAGTGGCACCAGAACTAGCATCTGTTTCTGGAAGGAATGTGAGACTCTGGAAAGGAATGACAATGCTAGTCCTGTCCTCTAACGCACCTTCAATGCCTCAGCACCTCTGGAGAGACTTACTGCTAAAATCTCCCTTCCTGGCCCAAGCCTGTCATGAGCCTCACAGGAAAGGCAGGCCCACGACCAGTGCAGCATGCAGCCCTCTGAGCAGCCACTCACAGCTGACCCTCCAGTTTTCCTGACATGTCAGAGGCCAGCTCTCCAAACAGCTCCTCATCTCTGTGTTTGAAGGTCCCTGGCCTCAGTACAAGTGCCTGCCTCCTCTTGTCACACCCGCTCCCTCAAGCCATCTCCTTTGCAGAGGCAGCGCTGATGCTCCCAGTGGCCCAGCTGTGACTTGCAAGAAAGCTCTGGCTGTGTTGTTCAGAGCTGCTTGGGGTGCAAGATGAGGCTCAGGCTGAAGAGTGAGCCAGGGTTGGCTATTTGGGGCCAGTCACCCCCATCCACTTTTCTGCACCCTATCTTTTACAAAGACGGGGGTCTCAGCTCAGAGGTGGTGTAGCCCTAGGAAAGCTTCAAGCTGCTGTCTAGAGTTACCCTGCCTGTCCCCAAGACAACCAGGACTCACCAGATCTGCAGATCCAGAGTCACTTTCCTTCGGTTGCATTTGTCAGTGTGTGCCTTGACACCATTCACCTTGGGACACTGGAAAAGATGACAGAAGGGCTATGGGTCCCTTTCTTGTTTTTCCTTCTTATCATAACTATTGACCATTCTGGAGAAGACAAGGGGCAATGGAGACCTAGCTTGGCCTCATATGTCCACAACCTAGCCCCGAGACAGTGGGATGGAAATAAGAAACAGCCACTCTGTTCCCCCCAGGAGGGACTTGGAGGCGGGGCAGATAGCAAGGTCTCCTAAAGAGAGTTTAACAGGTGTGTGGCAATTGGGAAGGAGCTGGCCTCACATGGATATGGTGAAGGCAGGGTCACTGGCTCCAATCCCTTCTGTCTTCATCTCCCCCTCTGCTCACTGTTCTCTTGGGTACTCTAAGACTACTCAAGAGTAAAAACTAAATTTCATTTGCACCTGAACTAGTAACATGCATGCCAAAATGCTGAGGTGAAAAGTTCACACACGTCTGCCATTGAGTTTTGAATGCATTTTAGAGAAAGGTGAATATAGATAGATGTGTAGACATATAATAAATCAAACACAGCACGATATTAACATCTGTACAGTTGAGATAATAGATTTGTAATGTTCACTGAATAATTCATTAAATGTTTTATATGTTTGAAAATTTTCACAGTAAGTTAAATGAAAAAAATTCAACCAGTTCCAAAAGGAGAAGGGATTCCATTAAATTTCTATTCACTCCATGGAAAGGGGCATTTTAAAATGTATTGCTGGGGCTGGAGAGAGGGCTCAGTGGTTAATAGAATATGCTGCTCTCAAAGATTAGGGTTTAGTTGCCAGAACCTGCACAGTGGTTCGGGTCTGTTGCCCTCCCCTTGTTCCCCAGGGTGCCCACTGTATGCCAGGCAGGATAGTCCTGGTTCAGGCTCACAGTTGGTTGCACAAGGGCACCAGACCAGAATGTGGCTTCCACATGCCAGAATTTGTTCACACAGTTGCAGAGGCCACCTGAGGCCTGGCCCGCGGTTCATGCTCACAGCAGCCCTTAGAAATGGGTCCTTTCCTTCTATATGTTAGGAAACTGGAGCTTAGAGAGGGAAGGTCACTGTGGCACAGAGGATGCTAAAGACACTGGCAACTGTGAAAGAAGCGGGTAGGACGAATACATAGGGGCATGCTTGAGCCTGTCAAGGTCCTGGGAGAACGCCACAGTCAGTGGGAGGAGGGAAATGGGAGGACGAGGAACAGAGAGGAGATGGCCAAGGCCAACAACAGAAGGCCTTGAAAGGGCAGGATGGAGAGTGAGACCAGTCAGCTGCAGGGCTAGAACATCTGGTCAACCTCCTCAGGCTCAGTGCCCAAGGGGTGGCCTGGTGGCACAGGCTCTGCTCTAAGCTCAGCAGTGTGAAGTCTCCCTGCTCTGCCTGCTGAATTTTCCAAAAAACAAAAAAAACAAAAACAAAAAAAACAAAAACAAAAACAAACAAAACAAAACAAAACAAACAAAAACAAAAACAAAAGTCAGACATCACTCTTTTGGGATGTCTGTGCTCTCCAGAGAATGAGTGTGAGCTCCTAATACCCAGAGCTACTTTGTGGCACTGTCATAAACCACTAGGCAGAGATCACAGCTGACAGACACTTGGAGTTAGCAGTTGCAACTTGTTCATCTTTCTATCCACTTGGCTCCCTCCATGCATGTTTCTAAAATTTCTAGAAAAGGGGGAACTATTTCCCCCAGCTTCTTTCTGCTCTCTGGCCCTGGTTTCCTTGGAGCCTGGAAAGTTGGGTAGGAGGACAGGAGGCAAGACCTGTGCACTGGGGCTGACGAGCTCGGAAACGCAGGCAGAGGCTATGCCTCTCTGAGGCCCAGTGAGGTCCTCATAATGAAGTGACTATCCTGGGTGGGGAAGGGGGACCAGGAAGAGAGGACAACTCCAGGCTGACCTCACTGAGGGAGCACCAACCTTCTGTCCAAAGTAGAGCTTGGTGAAGGTGAAGGTCCTGAGGTGGACACTCTTCTCCCGGATCTTGGGCTCCAGCTTCTCCCGCACCTTGTTCTCCATGATCATGCTTAGGTAGGGCCAGATCTGCATGATGATCTGCAAGCAGGGGCAGAGCCCTCAGGTCTGTGCCCTGAATGCAATCTGCAGCAGCCTAGATCCTCTGCAGCCTGGTCTCATGGATAGAGTCCACAGTCCTCATGATGCCTGCCCACCCCATCCATCCATTCTGTAACACCTGGGGACAGCAGCAGAGCCCACCTCCAGGCAGAGGGTTAGGTGTAGTTTTCAGGGTACTATGGAAACACACTCAGTTTAATTCAGTAATACAAAGCCATTAGCTCTGCCCCAAACACATCATCTCTCTGTGTTGCAGCAGTAACATGCTAATGGTTTAAGAAAAAAAAACAATAGCAGAAGAGATTGATAAATTGTTTTCTGTGAGTATAATTTCGACAAGCCAGAAAGGTAGACGTTGGTCCAGGATGAGTCATAGGGCTGATCTGAAAGCCATGGGTGGGACCAAGTTCCTCCTGACGCCAAGGCCTCATGTACCCATGCTCTAGTCCTTATGCAAATATCAAATTACTTACACAAGCCCAGATGGTCTAGCCTACTACACACCCAGTTGATTGGTACAGCCTATGGCTCCTAGGCTACAAACCTGCCCAGCAAGTTACTGGATGAATGAATACTGCAAGCAACTATGACACAGTAGGCAGTGTTTGTAAACAGAACCAAGCCTAGAAAAGACATGGCTGAAACACTAGACAGGAAATGTTCATCTCCAGTTACAATCCATGGGGACACTACAGTATTTTGATTCATAGTTGACAAAAGAAAATGATGCTGTGCAGACATAACTATAGCATGATCAAAATTTGTCAAAATGATATTGGCATAACATTTTTATTTTTTTACATTGTGTGTATGTGTGTGCTTGCACGATAGCCCTCACGTGGAGGTCAGAAGACAACTGCAGGAGTCTGTTCTCCCCTACCATGCTGTTGTAGGGCTGGGCAAGCTATCTCACCGGCAAGGCACAATGTTTTTAGCTGACCCCATGGACTGTTGTAGCTTATTTTAGTAATGCCACTTTCTATTATAGCAGGAGTGAAGATGTTGGGTGGCAGGGGCAAGGGACAGTAGTAGCAGGAGCTTTGGGCTTCAGGGTAAAATGCCCCTCCTCCACTCTGCTCCTCCCTAGAAGCACGGCAGAGCCTAAAGCTATATGGGTCCCAGGTGCTTATCGTCTCACTTTCTCGGGGGCCTCCCCAAGCCACCTTCCTGTGTTCTCCAGTGCTTGTGGCATCAGCCTCCCGTACAGGTCCCCCTCCACAGATGCCCCCATCCTCATCCTAACGGCCGCCTTCATGGCCAGGTGGCACTCGGTGGAGATGCAGGCTCTGCAGTGATCAGGGCCTGGCTGGCACACACAGGAAGGGCTCTGCAGAGTGTGTTCCAGAGGCCTGGTACCCAGTTCTTCACCACAGAACCCAGGTCACTCCTAAAGCAGCGAGCTGTTTCCTCTAAATTCTACCAGGAGGCTGGGACAGTTTTTGATGCACTTGGCAATAGCAGAATGTGAAATATCGACCTTAGAAGAACAACTGTCATGAGTGCTAACACTTGACCTAAGTGAATACGGCTGTGGACCAAGTCTCCTCCCAGGGTTAAGTCAGAGAGTCAGTAGCTTACAGGTGTGGACTGCAAGGAACCCCTCATAGCTCAGATCAGGGGGTGGGACCGAGGCTTCTCATCTAGAAATTCGGGGTTCCTGATGCCGATGGGTCAAAAGGCAGGACATGGAGCAGCTAGCCAGAACAAGGGGAGTCCCCTTAGACGACCTTCCACCAGTCACAAGAGTGATGTTAGTGAACCCATAGTCACCTGGGCTTGGGCAGGAATCCTAACCACTCCCATTTTACAGATAAGGAAACTGGCTCAGAGATGTTAGGCAAATTGCCCAAGGTTGCACAGCAGTGGTTTTGTAGCTGGGCTGGGAGGCACATGGAGTCCAGATGTTGTGTCTAACTAGTCTCTTCCTTTACTTATAAAATAATCTTGAGAGGAGGGAAATAAGAGTTGTTCTTTTCTCTATAAATTTTGTGTGTACTAAAACAAAACAAAACAAAACAAAAAACCCAAACCAACAAACAAAAAAACCCTTTTCTCCTCAGTCCAGATACTAATTTAAAACTTACTTAAAGGGAAAAACTTTTAAGAGAAGAAAACTTCTCGGAGGAACCAATGGGAGCTCGGCAGGGGAGGGGCCTCTCTGCCTATCCCTAGCAAGGGAAGTACAGTCTGAGGTTTGGGTCTGCACAGTACTCCCTCTGGGGTTGCTCAGGGACTCTGATGTTGAGTAGCAAAGGGCTGCATGTGGGGACGCCCAGGCCTGCAATGAGCCCAGCTCTTCCTGCCCACCAACGGTCTTACCTTATTGGCCCACTCCACACGCTCCACATCTGGGAAGTGTATCTAGAAAAGAGAAACCACAAAAGGAATTTAGACAAGAGCCACATGCCCCCAGCAAGAAGCTTGGCAAGGCTTGTCCTGCTGCCTGGAAGGTGGCTCAGTGAGTCCTCACCCCTTGCTTCTCTATAGGTCACAGGGTGTCCTCAGCACCTGGCCCTGCCTACTTGGCTCTCCTAGCCCTGCCTTTCATGTCACAGGAGAAGCCAGCTCCACAGAGCCTGCTAGGCCTGTGGTAGCCTGAGGAAGACTCACTGCAGTTGCTCTCTTCTTTTGGTCACCTGTCCAGCTATGTTGAGCTGTGGAGGGAAGAGCCTGGAGGCTGCTTCTTTGCACTGGACATCCCCAGCTCCCCTGGGCTAGTAAGCAAGTTTGCACCTTACAGATTTCATTTATTCACTTCAAGGAGGCAAGAGATATATTCCGTGCTAATATAAAACAAAACAACAACAACAAAAAAACCCACAAATGCAAAACTTAGCTAAGCAAAGAGAGATTCAGAAGTTTTTCAGAAAATGTCACCACTCAGAGACAGCCATCTTTAACAGGGTGCCATTTCCAATGGCCACTAGGGGGTGGCTGTCATGAAGTACCTATCCTTTCTCCTTTCCTTACTCTTAGGAGTCCCACACAAGCCTCCGTCTCTCCAGCAAAGAGGACCCTCAGGCCTTGTCACATAGCCACTTAAATTCCTCTAAGTCTCAGCCGTTCTTCCTGCTTCTGGTGAGCCCAAGGAGCCAGCAGGGCTAGTGGGCTGTTCCTGGTGAGCCAGAGGAGCCTGCAGGGCTAGTGGGCCTCAGGTTGCAGGCTAACCTCTGAATGACTTGCCTCCACCCTCAGGATGTCTCCTGGATCTCTTAGTCTAACCACCCACCAAGGTCCTGCACATGCCAGTTCCTGGGGTGTCAAACAGTCCCTCTCACCCATCCCTGTTCTCTTGGACTGCTGTTTGTCTCTTCTGGGTTCCCAAAGTAGAGGGCAGATGTCCCTCTGGGGTGTCTGATGGTTCTCCATTGTAGAACTCAATATACTTTATGACAGCCTATTGGTGTCACCCCTTCTCTCTACCAGCTCAGAAATGTATGGCTCCCTGCTGCAGCCAGGTCCTAGGATAGAAATGTCCCAATAAACACTCGTGGAATGAAATGGCATGGAAGAACACTGAATGAATGCCTGCAGGCATGAAGGTAAGCTCCTTGTCCTTGGGGGTCAGGCTGATCAAGTAGACAGGTAGAGAACAGACCACCTGGGCCCCTCTGGCTCACCAGGAACAGCCCACTAGCCCTGCTGGCTCCTTGGGCTCACCAGAAGCAGGAAGAATGGGCACAACATCAGGACTGAGACAGGAGGATGGAACCAGAGGAGAGTTCGGCTTCAGTCGGGCCCTTACCGGCACTGCTTCTTTGCTGGATCATTCCCTCTCCTTCCCAAGCTACCATTCTTCCTGCCCTAGCACACTCTAGGTGTGGATCCTTCCACATTCCCAGCCCAGGTGGGTCTCCATCGTTGCGAGCTGAGTTGCTCTGCTTCTAGACCCTGGAGGCCGATCCAGTTTAGCAGGTCCAACGCTGGTCACCCGTGGGAGCTGGTCAAATGTCAGTTCCTAAGCCTGGCACCTCCTGAATCAGAGTGTGTTGGGGTGGAGCCCTCTGACTTATTTTTAACAAGCCCCTGGGGTGAAGCACAGTCCGGGCTGGCTGGGAGATATCAATGAACAGCCCACGCTTCGTATTAAGGTGACCCACACCCGCCCTGAAAGGGTGGGAGCAAGAAAATGATCAGGCCCGAGTTTCTGAAGTTGCCATGTCTCTCTCAGCTTACCGAGCCTGCCTTTGAGGCTCTCCACAAATGGTTTGAACCCCTGCCGAGAACAGCAAGTCAGTCTAAGAAAACACCACCACCAGGGTATCCAGTTTGGTGCATGCCCACCACCCCCCCCCCAGCCTGAATCTCGGCACCTATCTTTACCCTGGAGAGCTGGCACACAGGAGCCACAATGTGCCCAGTGAGCAAGAAGCAGAAGTCTGATACTAGCATGCTCTGATGTGGAAAAGCCAGCCAACCTCTTCCCCCATCACACCTGCCCCTTTCTGAAGAAATACCGCCCATGCCAAATTCTCAAGGCTGTCCTAAGTTTTCATCTGTGGCTTGCAGATTTAGATCTGCGCTCTCCCTGGAATTTTTTAATAGGGCAAGATAAGGATATCGTTCTGTTTCTCCATCCTACTTCCCCTACGGCAATCTTCCCCGGCCATACAGCAAAGCCCCAGGCGAGTCTGTCTGGAGTGTGTTTCTGGTCAAGTGTCAACCCCATCAGTTTGTTTGCCTGTTCACTACGCAGTCACTATGTCTTTTCAAAATGACCTGCCTGGGGCAGAGATTGTCCTTGTTAGTTTTTCTTTTCCAAATGTATGTAGATAACGGGGATGGGTTGGTTGGCTTTGCAGGGCCGTGATAAAACACCTGGGACACTCAGCTCTATCTCGGAGCTCCAGGATCCCATTTGAGGACACCAGGAATGCACTAACTTCCTTCTGCTAACCCCTCCCCTTACAGGCTTCATCACCTTCCACCCACACCGATGGGGACCAAGCCCTTGCCACAGGGCTTGGGGCAGAGATTCCAGTTCAAACCCCTACAGTAGATTTTTGTTCTCCTAAAAGGGCACTGACACAGTACCACTTGAAATTTTTACCATGGCTTATCACATTTGTGTTTAGGATCATAAAACTTTTTCCATAAAAAGTCTATACATGTTGTCAGATAACTTTGTGGGGTTTGCAGTTAAAAAAAAAAAAAAACTGTTTCACTTTCTGAGAAACTTTGCTACAATAGTTCTAATTGTTCCTCCATATTCCTAGGTTATTTGTTGTGCTCTCTCTCTCTCTCTCTCTCTCTCTCTCTCTCTCTCTCTCTCTCTCCCTCCCCCCCTCCTGGGCCTGGCACACAGCTACACACTACATCAGGCTTTCTCCTAGGTTGTTTATATATTTTTACCATCTCCAGTAGCATTCTTTCTCTTTCTTCCTTGCTGCCCTCGTCTTTGCATATTTCCTGTGCTTTGCCTAACTAGCCAGGTCCTGTGTTTGATAAGCAGAAGTGGAGAAATGGGGCATCTTTGCCTAGGCTTTGGCCTTCAGGGGAAGCTCCTCGAGTCACTTTTATAAAACACATTTTACTATGGACGAAGGTCAGCACCTGCTGGAGGGGGAAGGGAGGTTCTCTAATCTATGTGCTTTCATTCCACAGGGGCATTTATGATATCCAGTTCCTTCTTATGCCCACTGAGATAATCATCAATGTAGTCAGCTTAAGTGACAGTGCTTTTAAAACAGAGCCAGCTCTCACCCAACAAGTGGGGGACCATGCCTGATACTGGAAACCTAGCTAACTACCTGGGGCTGTGAAGTCATGGACCTTAGAGAAAAACCTGCAACTACAACTTAACTAAACCAACATAATATCTAACTACATTATAAATATCTGTCCTTACACCCGCAGGTACGTGTAGTGCTCACCATTCGTCAAGGACACTTCTCTTTGCAACAGATGGAGGCCATTATAGGAAACCAGAGTTATGGAGCCTGGTTCCAATGGATGCATGTACCAAAAAAGTCCTGCGTCTAAGGCCCCGGGTCATTACAGAAGAGGGAGGGGGAGACTGTAAGAGCCAGAGGACCAGGGAGTTTGCTAAGGGATTGTCTCTCCCAGGAATGTCAAAAGCTACACCCATGAAGTCTCACCAGCATGACTGCACAAACACAAGCTGGACAAGGACAACTCATAGCCATGCTAACTAACCTGGACAAAGGAAAGCCCGTGATGTCTCCACCTTACACAAAGAACTACAGGTAACTAAGGAATGCTGGGAGCTGGGGAGACAGGGAAGAGCACACCCATCAATTATTCAAATCAACTGGTCATCCCTGAAAATGCAAACATACAAGGAGCATTATACATGTTGTATTTATGTGTTTAGGACTATATACATGTGTGTCTACATACACACACACACACACCACCACCACCACCACCACCACCACCACCAACAACAACAACAACAACAATGAAAGAAAAAGAGGCCATGAATTAGAAAGAATTCAAGGTAGGAGAGGTACATGGGAGGAATTGGAGTTGGAGGAGGAAAGGAACAGGGCAAGTGGTGTAATTGTATTACAATCTCCTCAAAAATGTAATTTTTAAGAAGAAATAATTAAGTTTAAAACATTTTTGAAAAACCATTTAACTCTTGGGATAAACTCCATTTGATGTTATATTTTACTTGGATCTTATGTTCATGAGATTCAAAGTGATGCCTAAAACTTTTTCTCTTTGTGTGTGTGTGTGTGTGTGTGTGTGTGTGTGTGTGTCTGTCTGTGTGTGTGTGTGTGTGTGTGTGTGTGTGTGTGAGAGACAGAGGGGGGGTGAGTATGTGTGTGTACATGCACATAGAAGCCAGAGGTTAACATCTGGTGTCCTCCTCAATCTCTCTCCACCTTAAATTTCAAGATGGGGGTCTCTCAATGAACCTGCAGCTCACTAATCCAGCTGGATTGTGGGTTCAGTTCCCAGCACCCACACAGTGGCTCCCAGCAGCTCCAGTTCCAGGGGATCTGATGCTCACTTCTGGCATCCCTGGGTACCAAACACACACATGGTGCACATATATACATTTAAATAAAGCACAAGTAAGATAAAATGAGTAAGTCTAACACAAAATTAAGAATAAAATTTTCCATTATTTCTTGGTGGTATGAACAACGATGAAAGCTGTTGGTAACCCCTCTGAGGGCTGGAACACAATTCTGTGACCGTTCCATGGGTGACTGTTACGAATGATGTCTGGCTAATATGTTTTGCCTTGTGTTGACTTTTTGCTTGGCTGGCTATTGTCGAGAGGGGTAGACTAGGATTTCCAAGCCCCACTGCCGGCCCATCAGCTTCGTCATGTCAGCTGCGAACTTTGATTTCAGCCTTGCATTGTGAAATCAGTGTGTCCGTGACGGCATCTAATTATCACCCTTCGTGAGCTCGCATCACCCCCCCCCTCTTCAGACTCCAATTAAACTCCACTTCATTTAATATGGCAACAGCTAGTCAAGACTGCTTTTGTTGCCATACCGCTCAGTTGTACCCTTTAAAAAGACTGAGTTGTGTACATGTGTGTGGACGCTGAGGACACCGGCGGAGAGTTGGGGTTACAGGCATTTGTGGGCCACCCAACGTGGATGCTACGAGCTGAGCTCAGGGCTTCTGCATGCACAGTAACTTCTCGTAATTGTGGGACTCTCGGCCCTCAACCTTTTTTTTTTCTTTAAGTTTTTCTTTGATTAGCTTATGAAAAATTAAGTTTGGGGGCTGGCAGGATGGCTCAGTGGGTAAAGACACCTGCCACTAAGCCTGATGATCTGAATTCAATCCCTGAAACTCATGGTAGAAGGAGAGAACCAACTCTCCCAAGTTATCTTCCTGCCTCTACACCTGTACACACACACACACACACACACACACACACCACAGGGCTGGGGAGTGAGTGTAAAAGATAAGTAAATAAAATAGAAATGTAATTTTTAAAAGTCTTTAAAAGCACTTAGGTTTCAGGTGGGATTTTTAAAATTGCCTTTGTTGTTTCTCTCTCTGCTTCTCCCACATCCCACTTTCCTTGTGCTCCCCCCCCAGCCGCCCTTCCACTTTCCCGTTTGTGCCCTCTCCCCTTGCTTAACCCTCTTGCTCCCCACTCATGGTCTCCTGTCTACTTCCATAGTCTACACCCGCTCTCACGAACCTTCATTTCATTAACTGTCAGGATCCACTCCTGAGGCAGCCTGTGCTTTTTGTCTTCCTGAGACTAGGTCATCTCATTTAATGCCTTCCAGTCTCACCCATTTTACTGAAATTCTAATAATTCCATTTTTCCTAAGACCTGAGTAAAACCCATTCATTGTACATATATGCCATTTAATCATTATCCACCCATCTGTCGATAGGCTAGATGTCTAGCCTGGTTCCATCTCTTTGCTACTGCTCTGCCCTACCAGGAAGCCTTCAGACTAACGATGGGATCTAGCTCTAAACCTGGGTCATCAGGGCTGACCCAGATTCTGGGGGCTGTCTGGGTTCCTGAGATGAACAAGCTTTTGAACCCAGTTGTGATCAGCCTTTGGAGAGCTGGCTTTCCCGGGCAGCTGATGCCAAGGTGTCTGCAGAGCTGCTGGAGGCAGGTTGGCCAGGGAGTGGAGCATTAGCAGCCTGAATGCTCAGGTCACCATGGCAACAGAGAGCAGGGAGCCACAGCCCAGGCTCAAGAGCCACTGAGCACTCTCTTGACAAATTTAGGAGCAGGAGAATCTGACAGGAAAACATCCCTTACCCCAGGGCCTTTTCACAGTAAGGGTTTCATTTGCATCTCCCCTGAGCTCTCTGAAGCACCAGGATAAGGTCTGAAGAGATGGCCCCATAGTTTTCATTCGCGCACGCT